TGCACATCGTTGAGAATCCTGGCAAGGACATATTTTATTTTAAAGATCCCTTGAAGTTGGGGTTGGGAATAAAACAGCTGAACAAAACAATTGAAGGGTGTAGAAAATTTCGGAGAATTAAGTGTGCAGAGATAAAGCCTCCAACTGCTAGATTTAGCTGCAATATGGATTGAAGGAGCTTCAATCTCGCAAAGAAAAATCTGAGAACTAAGATCAGCAGCCTAGTCCTTGATGTTCCGATTTATTCACTACTGGAGCTGACTAATCCACAACCGATCGAACTTTGCACTTAACTTAGCAGTCTCTCAACTCCTTGCTGGAACTCAACCATGGCTGCACGCATCATTTGAGCGCCTTAAAGTCGACTGTGCTCGTAAAAGAAAAAGTTACTCAATGCCCCAACTTGCATGCAAATTACGGGCAATAAAACGTGGCACATTCCAATGCTTAGAGGCAAACTTCTGCTACAAGAGCCAAAGGAGATTATTCTTTATTGTTTAGACAATGACGGCAGCAACGGGGCAGGAGCGGGAGAGTGAGTCCTTGGTGGCAATTCTCACATCATGCGATTGGCATTGAGATTGCGTCTTGGCGCTTGGGATATTCCCAAGGCTGTCATATCGTATGTAAGGACAACAAACACGCCGCCCCCACACGAGGGATATGCAAATTTGTCATCCGGCAAAACCAAACAAACGAAGTGAAGGAGTGAAATAATCATAAAAACGTCAAACCCAGACAGCGGTGTGGGGTATGGGTGTGGGGTGTGGGTGTGGGTGTGGGTACAGCAATCCTGAATTGAATTTTTATCTATTGTATTGGCCATAAAGTCACATTGTCACAGCGTGTACAATATAAATGATTATTGTTTACTCTTGGCATCTCTCTAGGCTGGGCATAGGATATATGGAATGTGGGCTGTGGGCATGGCCATTGGAATGGGTAAAAAGTTGAGTTGAGGGCTCAACCGGGATTTGAACCCGGGACCTCTCGCACCCAAAGCGAGAATCATACCCCTAGACCATTGAGCCGCACATAATAAAATCGAAGATACTTGCATTTTTCAGCTTCCAATTTTATCTCAAAGTTACATCTGCAACCAAACAAAAGATAGCAGCTACATTTGCAGCGAACTAATGGATCCATTCGCAGCGTAGCCAACTAATGGATACATCTTCAGCATGCATAATGAGGAAACTATTAATGAGGTTGAAACAAGTTGGAGTCAACGAGCCGGTTTCGATAGTTTCTTTTGTGAATGTAAGCTGCATTTATGCATAATTTAGATGGGTTGACTTTAACCCGTGTGGGCCATACAGTTTATTGGAGCTGACAATGAGTGAATAAACTTATTTGGAAATATTTAAATACAAGTGCTCACCTTTCAATTTAGTCTATCTGGCCTTATGTTATTTCAATGTATTTGTTTTTTGACTTAAATATTAGTTATATAACCCCTCTTAACTTTCGTTAAACAAGTAGTATTATCCACTCTAAAATTGTACCTTAGCTTAGCTTTTCGCAAGTCAAACAAATCCATTTTACGCTCAAAGGGTTAATATTGTCACCAAATGTTACGTTTCGTTGATCGTTTTCTTTTGAAGCCCTCAAAATTAACGGAATTCACCAAGGGGATGTAGCTCAGATGGTAGAGCGCTCGCTTAGCATGTGAGAGGTACGGGGATCGATGCCCCGCATCTCCAGTCGGAGGATGATATATTCTATTTTTGTATTTTCTATTTTATTTAAAGTTACATTTCCTTTTCGCATTTTTTATCCCCATTCAATTAAACTTACCCTCATCAGCGCATCGCTGATTTATTGACTTTTAAACGCCTTAAGCCGGCGCTTTCATAATTTTTCACAGCACGCAGCTGACTCATCAGATTTTTGCTTTGTCTACTGGCACTTTCTGGGCATGCTTTTAATTTAATTTGAAAAGTTTTGCATGCCCATTTGGCGCATTTAACCCTTTTGCTTGAAATAGACGAACAAAAAATAAAAAGAAATATCATAAATAATGATGATAACTGTCCAAAGTTTCCGAGGCATGCCATGGCCCAAATGGCCACTCCCAAAGCACCCACACCAAATGCAATTATCTGGACGGAGGGCAAAGAAAGGACCGAGAAGAAAAATATGACAATTAGGCGCGTAAACTAATTGAGGCTGGCAGCGGCAATTTTGAGGGATTAGAAAGGTTCCCGAGGCTGAAATTTAAAATTGGAATCAAGAGGGAAAAAAAACAGAGAACCGTTTCAAATTGATCTCAAGAAAATATGTTCATAAATTAATTTTATTACAGCAAATACTGAAAAAATCAGACAATTTTCTCCAGCTCAGTGGCATAGGATAGATTCTGTGTAGCTATATCGTTGGACGGAATCTCATCCTTGGGCTTGGTGTTCAGTGAGGCATAGTCGTAGTTCCCCTCAGTGTCCAGGGTCCAGTGGCGGCGCTTGACCAACTCCAGTAGCTCCTTTCCGCCAGCACGGAGGCCCAGACGCTGTGCCGCCTGCTTGGGGGACATCTTCAGGTAGGCCTTCTCGATGCAGGAGGCGATCTCCTCGCGGGCCGTCTGCACCAGCATGTCCATGAAGTTTCCATAGATCTCCGAGGGCATGGACTTCTTGGCCTGCAGTATTTTGTTGTAGCGTCCCTCCATAAAGTAGTTCTCGAGGGCCAGCACGGGCATGATGAAGCTGTCCTGGAGCAGCAGGGCCGACGGCAGTCGCTCCAGTGCAATGTGGAAGTCGGCAATGCGATTGGTGGCCAGCATATAGAGCAGGCTCAGACCAATCATCTTGTGCATTTCCTTCGAGGGCTCCAGGAACTTGTCGTAGTCGTAGTAGTACATGCTCAGCTGAGCCATGTACCGCTCAAAGGCGGCGTAGTCCTTGGTGGTGATGCTGTGCTCCACTGCAATCTCCAGCACATCGCGTGACTTCACCAGCTGGTCCTTCTGCTGGGGGTTTGAGTTGAAGGCCTCTCGGGGCATCAGGAATCCGGCTTTGAGAATCTCCAGCTTGAATAGGCCCAAAAGTTCGCCACAGCGCAGCAGATTTGGGGCCCGTTTGCCCCATTCCGACTTCAAGTCTTTGTACAGATTGGACATGATCAGAGCGCAGTTTCTGGGAACGAGCAAATTGCCAGTAATTTTAGTAATTTTATTTCGACTTGGCAGACTTAAAAGAGTTCCCTAAAAAGAGTTTTAGAAGTGTTTTCTATGCCTACTCATGTTTAGCTTTTATGCACGTTTTATTTTAAACACCAAAAACCCTCTGGAAAGGTTAAAAAGCTGCCCTAATGGTGTCATATATTAAATCTTACCAGATGTTTATTCTCAATATATTTCATCTTTAAAGCCTTCGCCCTGCCATCACTTTCCCTCTTCTTCGGCACTTCTTTTGGGCACTTTTCCGCTGCAGATTCTTTTTTATTGTTGGCTGGCTGAAGTTTGCGGCTCGTTATAAATCACAAAACTGAAACCATTGAAGATTTATGAGCTGCTAAATATGCTGGTGAGGGTCGTGGCTTGGACATTTTAGCCAACAACAAAAAAAAAAAACTTTGTCCACATATCAAACTTTAAAACGCAATTATCATATATGTATCTGCGAGCATGAATGTATCTGTATCTGAGCTCTTGTATCCTGTATGTGTCGGTCTTCGTCTGTGTTGTCTTTCACTTGCTCGGATAAACAAAACAAGGTCCTAAATAAACAAAACGAGAAAAAGAATCACCAGAAAATGAGTAAAAAGTTGCACCAGACAAAAATACAATTTGATTTTAATTGAAAAATAGCAACAACAATAAAGTACCATCAAACAACCCCAAATATGAAAAACAAAAGGTGCTGAATGATGGTATACGTACATATGTACATATGTCTAGATGTTTTAATCGATGAAAGGATAAAAGTTACGGATAAAGGAAGATAGATTGGTATCTTAATATATGCAGAGAATATATACATAGATGCTTAGTTATAGTCCAGTCATTGCCTACTTTTTTGTTCGAGCAAGGCAGATGCCCAAGAAATGTATCTAACAGATTCCTTCTTGCTTCTCTTGAGGGCACTTTTTGACTTTCCCTAAAGCCTACTTACCATTCACCTTGCACCTCAAGGCTTATGAAAATTTTTCCAATTAATGGCACACACTTTGTTCCCTCTTTCCCGCCCCGCAGAATCTGTCTCCCCCGCAACCGCACTTAAAATGCCATTAACAAAAGCACAAACAATTTTTACACTCTTCGTGCCAAGAAGAGCAGCCAAAGCAAACAAGAACCAACTACTAGTCAGCAAAAAAAAAAAAAAAAAACAAATAAGAGCAGGAGGCACAACAACTACAATAGGAACCAACAGCATTTCCTTTTTATTTATTTTTTCAACAACTTTTTACCTTTTTTCCAACTCATTTTCAAGTGTTTCCACTTAGTTCGGTGTTTTTGTTGTTGCTGCTGCTTTTAGGGGGGTGAAAAACCATTAGAAAAGGGGGCAACTGGGAGACGAGACCCGTACTCCCAGAAGCGACTTGGGTGCCCCCTGGAGCCCCTTGATGGGGTTAGCATTGTTTTTGTTGGCTCAAGTCAACAAGGTCGAGGGTTAATGAAAGTTGGCTTGAAAGCTTCGGTGTTGGTTCACGGTTTGCTGCTTAAGTTGTTCCAATACTTTGTAGAGAGACTGTGGGAATGGACAGAAGTTTGAATAAATGGGAGGTGCTTTGAGCAGAGTCCTAGTGCTCTGCTTGCTTAGCCAGTGAGAACCCCTTTTATTTGTATCTATATTTAATAATTCTTGATGGCTAGTTCAAGTTATTTTAATTCTTAAATTATCCCCCATCGAATGCTTTTTAAATTTTCTTTGGACAAGACAAGGCACAGAGCAGTTTCCGCCTAACACGCGGAAGAAGGCCCCCGGCTCAGTCCCGGGCGGAAACAGTTGAATTTATTTTTATATTTTTTTATTTTTGCTCTCTTTGATTAGTTTCTATTTTAGTTATATGTGCAGCATGGATTTAAACTTATCGCGTTGTTTCTTCTTCAAGGCCCGGTCTTTTTTCCGTTCAATATTCTTGATGAGAAATTCTTGGAATTTCTGACGCAGATCCAACGACAGACCCGTGTTGCGCAGATCCAATTTCTCAAGAATTTTATTGCAGATGATGATCTTAAGCACATTTTTGCCAAAGTCCTGAAAATAATCCCCTTATTTTAGTTGATTTAAATATACATAGTTGAGAGCAGTTAATGGAACACACCTCCCCCAAGGCATTGTTGGATATATCGATGTCCAGCAGGGTCGTGTGCTGACAAGTTAGCATCATGAAAAGCTTGGTAATGGTCTCCGTAATGGAACACGATCCCAGATCCAGCTCCCTGATGGGCATGGCCTGGAGGGTGTGGAAGATGGCGGCTGCCCCGTCGCTCTGTATAGGATTCAGACGCAGCACCAGTCGCTGGAGGGGCACATGCCTCAGGGTGCGACTGAGGATGTAAGCTCCTTCTTCAGCTAAGATAAAAAACTCTGTTAAAGGAGTGGCAGATATGGAAAGATGTTTCACTAACTGATCTTATTGTTGGTCAGATCCAAGACAGTTAGAGTGCCAAAGGACTCCCTGCCACAGGTTTCCAGAAAGCCGCGAATGCCCGCATCCCCCACCGCACAGTGGATGAAGGACAATTCGCTCAGATGATGACAGCCCTTGTCCAAACTGTGGGCCAGGTAACGCATCTGATATGGCAGCAGTTTGGTGTTGTGCAGACTATCAAAAAAATAAATCAATTAACATTGCCGAGGAGTAGGCACGCAATCCTCACCAGAACTGGCGCAGCTCATGGCACTGGCTGAGCCCCTTGGCCAGGAGCAGAATGTCCCTGGGTGTCAATTGGTTGCAGCCCGTTTGGTAATTACAGCCAGCCGTCTTGGTGCTGTAGCTCAGTCGCAGTTGGCGTAAGTCCGGCAGATTGCTCAGCAGGTAATCAAGCGGAATGTGATCTGCAGATTGGATCGAAACGAAGCTCATTATACCCTGTCATGCCACCACTCTGCTGCGGATTGAGCGCAGGGTATCCCCACTTCGTTGACACTGACACTTCCACTCTCACCATTTCACTCACCATTTCCCTCGGTGGCGGCTGGCGAGGGCTGGAGGAAATTTATCTCCAATTGATTTATGTACGCCGCACAGATGTCCAAGGTGGCCTGCACGTTGCCCTCCTGCTCGTAGTCGCCGGTTTGCATATTCTCAATAAACTCCTGCACATGTCGCTCCATGTAGATGTTAATCCAAGGCCGTTCCCTGCCGCGCGCCTGCAAAGGTGCCGCCCGCCAGCGCTGCTCGTAGCCCCGCTCCCAAAAGAAGTCATCACGGATGTGCGAGCTGAGCAACTGCAGCGGCAGCTGGGTGTCCAGATGGCTGAGTATATAGTTACGGTCCTCGCGCCGTCCCAATTGCCCGTACAGCGGCAACTCTAGACTCGGAAAATTCCCGGTATATTCAGATTTTATTGGGGTTTTGGGTGTGGAGTTCAGGGGTTGGGTTGGCGTTCACTCACCGCTCCAGTTCTGCACGATGGCATCGAGCACAAGATGTCGCAGACTTTTCGCTTGATTTGTCTGGCCTTCGTGGGCTTCGTTCTGGGTCTGGGTATGGGTCGGGGTGTGGCTTGTGTCCCATGATTTACCGCTGACTTTGGGCAGCTTGACATCCTTGAGATTGAAATAGGCCTGGAAGGTGTCGATGGAGACGGTGCTGGGGAACTCACAATACGTGAAATCCATTTGAATATTTGTAGTTTCTCCTGTCTGTCGGCTAGAGATACGCAATACTGATGGAGATGGCGGATAAACAATGTCTATTAGTCCGGCTTTGGGCTTTTGGGTTGCCAGGAAACGGTTGTCAACGAAGTCCTTTTGTTGTTGGGAGAGGCATGAAGAGTGTGCACTGATGGAAGAGTTGGAAAGGTAGTATCTAGATAATCTATATAAAGAATTGGGTAAAATTGGAATATAGTTTGTTGATCGTTGATTGGTTGATAGACACAACACAGCAACTGCAATATTAGTTTCATTTGTATTTATAGAAGTTTTAAGGCACTTTTCTTAATAAATTTTGGCTAGAGATTAAAGTAAAATGAATCTACACCAAAAATTAAACACAACTTGAAAATATAAACCTCGAGAAATATGCAAAACTTCGGTTTATCTTCGCCTCCTTTGAGCTCCTCTGGCATTTGCATAACAAAGTCGTTTTGGCCAACGCGATAAAGCCTCAAGTGGCAAGCCGATTATGACCCTAATTACATGACATTACAAGTCTACATTTATCCTGCACCTCCGCATTCTCCTCCTCCCCCAGACAGGCCCCTTGGGTATATCAAAAATATTGACTTGGCATCTTTCATTGTGGCCAATCAAGGCGAATATCTACCTGAGGATTAGGCCAGCTGACATGACTGGGCTGCCACAGCGAGGCTTTAGCTGCTCGACTTTCTGGTGTAATTTTTACGGCTTAGCTAGGATTCAGCGGCGTCTGCGAATACTTATGCAAAGTATTTCCACGCATAAAAAGACGTTATTTATGTCTTGGCCTTGACGACGCGACTCGTTGGCCAAGAATTAATAACCAACCCCCTCAATGGGTGTACACTGTACACATTATAAGGGAATATTCCTGGATGCTGTGTGCCTGTGCCTGCCATGATGCGCATTATTATGGCCAAATTATACACCTTATAAAACAGTTGCGCTTTTTTCATGCAACCAAACCAAATTTTTATGTAAAGCAATTTATTTTGAATTATTTTTATGGCACTTAACGGTTGCGTTGCGTTGCGTTGCGCTGCCTGAGCACCCCCGCATGCACGAGAGGGTCGAGTAGCTGACTAGCCAAAAATTGGTTTGTCATGGGGTTGCCTTTTGCTCGAGGAGTTCTCTTCGGTTATTGTGCGAATTTGGTTTGATAAATTATGTGAAATCGATGCGGATATTGACAGCAGTTTGAGCGCTTGAATAATAATGATAGCCAGGCGCCAAATGAAAATACAAATCGATTGGAATCATTGAAGGGCTTCATTCCAATCTAAACTTTCGGTTATTGAAATTCTGCTGTTTAACATTTTATTGGAAGATCATAAATAATTACAGATTCAGTTTACATTTCACTCTCTAAAAATTATATCGCAGGTTGACTCCGCCGCCAAAGTCGGACTTGCCACGTCGAGGTCCACTCATGTGGCGCATGGCATTGCCGTTGGCACTCAGATTGAGGTTGCCACTGGGCGAAGTGTAGAGATTGGCGCTGCCAGTGGCCTGCATGGTGGTCACATCGAACTGGGGCACACGATTCACCCCCAGTGCGGCGGAGTGACCGGCTGATGTCTGCATATTGAGTCCGGCGCCAAACTGATCGTGTGTGCGACTGTGACTGTGATAGCCTGTGGCATTGAGAGCAGTGTGCTGGCTCTGCAGCAGATTCGCCTGGGCCGAGGCAGTGGTGGTGCTACCCATGCCCTCAATGTGACCGTGCTGCACGGACAGACCATGGCCATTGCTGTTGCATGGTGCAAAGGTCGTTACATTTAGATTGCATTTCAAGGAAATAGTAACTTACGCATTTACAGCTCCATAAACGCCCTTGGTGACGGGACCTCCAGTTCCTGGGGTCGCGGCAAAGACTCCTGCTCTGGCATTGGCCTGATCATTGCCAACCATAACTCCACCATTTGGCGAGGGCCTCTCCTGTCTTGGGGTTTCCGGTTGCCTGACAATCCATTACTTGGGCTTGAAATGACTTTTTCGACTGTCTTCTTGGACTATACTTTGTGTTCTGAATGTCTGCTGATGGCCAGCAGACGCTTTTATAGGCTGAAATCTTTTGTCACAAAAAGTACCCCCACACATGAATTTGGTACATTCCCCTAGCCTTTTCTCTACACGATCTGCACTGCTTCTTAATCTAGCCATGGGTGTAGATAGGAAAATATATATGAATTTCGAGACCATTAAAATACATACATATAGTGAGTAAATTATAATTAAAAAATAAAAAATATATGGCACGGCTGGTAGTACTTTCACCTCCCCCTATTACTACGTCCATGAATAAACCACACGATAATCGTTTATTAGCATTTATGCCGCTGTATTTCCCCTTTGGCAGGAATGAATAAGATCATCGGGGAGTCACCAGAAATGCATATAATAATACTTATCATCGTATATATCCGAACCATCTCATCATATAGTAAGTGTATATATATACATTGTACATATATAGATCAAGCAGAAAAATATTCTCCCTAACATTTCAGAATTTGATGCAATTCTTTGGTTTGCTTGTTCCGTACATCTCAAGATATGCCACTGCCCAATATTTAATCACCAACATTTCTTTACGGACGGAGAGAAATAATTATTGCGGTTTGGACAACCCGGAATTATGTGGCGCCGTGGCTTAGTTGGTTAAAGCGCCTGTCTAGTAAACAGGAGATCATGAGTTCGAATCTCGTCGGGGCCTATGTGTACTTTGATAACTTTTTTCATTTTCGCTCTCTTTATTATCTCATTCTTTCCGTTTTCTTTTTTAACCGTATCTTCGAAATCTTTCAAAAACTGAAACAATTATTTTAGCATTAAAGTTTTGAAAATTTCCAAAAAGCAGCAAGTGGCGCCGTGGCTTAGTTGGTTAAAGCGCCTGTCTAGTAAACAGGAGATCATGAGTTCGAATCTCGTCGGGGCCTTTGAAGCAAATTGTGGTTCAATTTTCCTTCCTTTTTTTGTATGCCATTTATTTCTCTTTTTTTCTGATTCGCATTCAATGCAGTGCAGTGCGTTGCAGCTGTCAGTCTTCGGGCTGGCTCCGTGGCACAGGCACAGGTAAGATAAAGGGGCAGCTTTCGTTTTTCTTTTGTACGTCTGCACTGCTGACAGCTGACAAAAAAGTTTTGCGTAAACAGTGGCAGCGGATTCGCCTTTATGGCCACATACATATCCACCCTCTCCATGGTAGAGAAAGGGGTCCACCTGTTGTGGTCCTTGCAACGGCGATGCATAACGGAAACAACGGCGGCACTGGGCAACGGAAATGTTCGACAGCATGTTGCGACGTTGTCGACTGCCCTGCAGTGGATGGAGACTCCGGAACGACGGACTCATGGGGAGCATATTTGCCTTGTAAATGGAACGTACGGCTTTTCAATTTCGTTTGCTTTTCCACATGAAACGGGGTGAGGATTTGGACTGGGGGGGGGCCTGGGCCTGCCTGCAATTAGCCGTCAGAAAGCTTATTTGTTTCAATTTATTTACAGCCACTCGCTTCTCTGCCTTATCTTTGTTTTTTATACCCAAACGCACCCAAGCCCGATGTATAACCCCGGACGGAGGCGACTTCCCGCATATACATAATTATGTACGAGGCAACTTCTGACAAGCGGCAGACAATGGCAGAACAATGCTGCGAGTATATGCAGACAGACGTCATCCGAGTACTACGAGGCATAATCATTTTTACGGATTTAATTTCCAATGTCCTTCCCTTTGGGGCTTTGTGTGTCGGAAACAGCAATGTCCTTTTCTAATTTCCTCTCGAGAATTAATATTTGTGTCTACTGCTGACTGGGTCTCTGCTTTCTCTGGTTTCCCGATCATATCAATGCTGATAGTTGTGGGGACTAGGATGGAGACTAAATTCTATCCGATAGCTCCATTTGATGTCCAGGAAGGAAGAAGTTGCCCAAACTTATCCCTATGATATTTACCCAGACTTGCTTCATCCATAATAAGCTCTATTCCTCCCCCTAACATGTGTTCTTGCTTAGTACATTTATCATTTGCAATGCTCTGACGCCTTCAGCCCGGTCTATCCCATTTCATTTTCACCCTCAGACACAGCAGCAGCAGCTTCCCATCATCACCCAAGGATTTTTAGCAATTGTCAGCAATTTTCCCAATAGACAGCACAAAAACTATCACACAAAACCACTAAGCAAATGTCTGTTACCCACACAATGTCCATTCCACCATAGAGGATATGCTGTGTATTTTTCTGATTACGCCCGGACGACAGTCGTCCCGGTCAGTGCCAGTCCCAGTCCCGGCACATGGTGGGCGTGTACATAGCATAGGCATTAACATAATTTATGTGGTTCCGCCGGATTTAGCTTTGTCGTAAAAAAGGACACTCGGCCATTGTCCATTGTCCATTTCAAGCTTCGATAACAAAAGGCACAAGGAAAGTCCGGACGACCCGGCTAAGGATTGGATTGCGGTTTTTATTGTTTTGATGGCAACAAAGTTTATGAAAAGTTTCTCCGTCCGTTTCTCTCTAATTTCGTTTGTAGTTTTTCTGTTGACTTTGCATATTTTTTTAATTAAATGAATTTCGGCAAAGAGAAATCAAATTCCACTCGTACTAGCATTTCGCTTGGTAGCTAATCTATGAGACCATTACTCAACTTTGCCCCCAGGCCCGGCCAGAAGCTGTGTGTGGCACGGGAAAGCTGAAGGGGTAGGGTAGGGATCTACGGAGTTCATGGCTGGTTGGCTGGGCCATAAAAACGTGCGAAATTTTCACGGGCGCGTGAATTTTCACAGCCTTTGGATGTTGTGCTGTTTTTGTTTTCCCAGACACGAACGGGCGGTGGCGGTGGCTGTGGCTCTCCCTCCCTCTGCACACACACCTTTAACTGATTGTTGTCACCTGTTTTTTGCACGCTTTATTCGCAGGACTCAATGGGTATGTTGGGTATGTGGAGTGGAAGACGCTGCACAGCCAAAAATCCATGCATTTCGATACACAGGGTGTTCCAGTGTCGAGTTGTTAGGACATGGCCTGATTCTTAGTACACCTGGCACGCAACACTCATAACTCAAAACGTTTCGAGGGCCCTCTTCTGGGTGCTGCATGCAGTGTGTAATGTGGCAAAATATAATCAAGTGGAAAAAGTCAAAAACTTCAAACTGTTCTTTAAGGTTAATAATGAAAAATGGGTGGCACGTGCCGCAAAAGGTAAATGGTTGAATCAAGAGCTGCCAACATCGCTGAAAAGTGGAATTTTAAACCAAATTAAAACTTATTAAAAAAATAGTAGTGGATATCTAATAATAAGAAGGAAACACAAAAAAAAGAGAAATATGAAATCCTGGAGATGCGGGGCATCGATCCCCGTACCTCTCACATGCTAAGCGAGCGCTCTACCATCTGAGCTACATCCCCGATGTGGGCGGTGCTGTCTATTTCCATACTTCAGCGAATGCGGCTTAATGCTATCTTCATGGATATTTAGTCTAATTTAAACGCATTTCTTATAACCCACCAACTGGAGCAATGAACGACATTTAATTAAGTATTACAACATTTGGTATTTGCATGGTTTGTTGGCTTGAACGAAGTTATATTACAAGGCTCATTAGGCAGGCATCACTTATGTATGTATTCAATTTATGCCTCAGGTGGTGCATAGATCAAAATTCAAGTAGTTCACCCAAAAACTTCAAGAGCAACAGTTGAGAAAATGCCAACACTCCGCTTTAATCTGACACAGTTCATAGTTGTGCTGCTCCTGGCAGGCTGCAGTAGCGCTGAAATGGTCCAAGATGACCAGGACGACTTCGAGATGGATCCTCCTCCGGAGCCCATCGATGGACGTTCCTTTTTCTTTTTGAGCACACTCTTTCGACGCTGGCGCAATCGCTGGATGTCCTACCACAGTCCAGATCCACTGTTTGCGGGTGCTGCCTACCCAATCAATGGATACTACAATTGTCCCATCTATGGGTGTAATCCAGCGACCATTGGACCTCAGCCTGGCTACTATTCTCGTCCAGGTAGCTTCTACCCGCTGAGCCAACAGCAGCAGCAGGCTCAGGGCAACAGCAATGTCTACATATATCAGACCGATCAGAACACGGCCAATTCTGGGAGTGGTTCCCCGGCCGTTCCCTTTGGATATGGAAACTTTGGGGCTGGATCGCCGCTTCGACCCGGACAAGCCTCAATTCCCCCGCCGCCACCTCCGATTTTGCCACCATTGTCAATGGGAGGGGCTTCCGCTGGTGCCGCGAGCTATGGCCCAGGACAAGGACCAATACCAATACCACAATTTGGCTAAGCAGGTGCGGAGGCAACTACATAGAACGGTTGCCCAAGTAAACATCGCAGACAAAGTAAAAGAAAACAATACAATTTTAATTGAAAAGTGTGGAGCCAAAGAAAAAAGTAAACCCTACCCAAAGAGATACAAGGACGAAAATATTCCATTCCAGCACTTTCTCTTCCATAATTCAATGAAATCATCTCCTCTGAATCAATATTTCAATGCTTACAAATTACTAAACTTTTCACATTTTTGTTACAATGAAATAGCATCCATCAATTAAGAGAAATAAAATAAATAAAATCCATCTTGTTTGCTTTTCAAACTAGATTCCACAGTAACGAGTGGAGTGCTATGCTCGCTTGAAAGTCCACAAAAAGGGTTACAACCCCACACACATATGGACATTTTATCCATTAACGCCAAGAGAAAAACTCCCCAACCAATCTGCATAAACAAACTCATCATCAGCATATCCTTCACCCACACCCATCAGAAGGAGAAGCAGCAGCAGCAAGAAGGAGTAGACGTAGTCTCGTCCGAAATATTCCAGCATTTGTTTTGATTCCATCATAAGCCATAAGATAGCTGCAGACATGGATGCCATGCCTGATGAAGTGGTTGCAAGTTGCCCAAGGAGCAGGCAGCAGTCGGGTGGCAACGGCAACGGCAACGGGCTTGCCTCAATTGTTTGGCAAATAAATGCCCGGCAGCATAATGGAGGGCCATGGTCAGCTCTCCGTGTTCCGTGTATAGCAGCAGTCCGTTTCGGTTATTATTTTTATATAACTTGTGAAAATAATAATAGAGCTTTGCCCAGGGGCGTGGCAGCAGGAGCGGAGACGAAACAAACAAACAAATACTCGAAGCGGACGACAGTTGTATAAACAGAAGTGTGAATGTGCAGATAGTGAAGAGATCTGGGATCGCAGATTGTCCAGCATATAAGAACGTTAAGGCGTTGACGTTGACTCCTGTTCATCCCAATCCCCGTTACGGTCACCATATGCAATTGTCCTGGAGTTTATTTGTGTTTGTGCTATGACAACAATGAGCAGCAGAGAGGTCCGAACTCCATTGCCAGGTGTTGATGCTGCCTCTGTTTTTGTTTTCTTTAGAACAACTTTCGCTGACCGGAAACGGAAATTAAATGCACAAGTTTTTCCCACCAGACAGACAGAATGAACGAATTCCCACTTCTTATCTAACTTCAAACAGAAAAGACAAGGCCACTTTACATTGATAAATGAAGTCTTGAACAAGTTTTCTTGACACCGAGCCAAAGTAAGTTTCGACAGCCCAACTGGCAACAGTCGATGACTCACAACTACAGTATTGGACGCTAGTTTTCAGAATGGGGATGTAGCTCAGATGGTAGAGCGCTCGCTTAGCATGTGAGAGGTACGGGGATCGATGCCCCGCATCTCCAATTTGTGAGGACACTTCTTTAATAATAAAATTAAGTGGTCTATTTTTTTCTTCGATATTTTTCTGCTTGCAATTTTAGGAATTATGTAATAGAAATACCTCTGGGGCAAATAACAACGATGTCAATAGGCCAATAGAATAAGATACTTATCATGTGCTTGCCATTAGAATCCCACATCCACTCAAAATGTTATTTAGTTGTACGCTCATTTCCCCATGCATAAAATAAAGTTACATATCTATAGGAATGAAGAATTAATAGATTCGGGCTTTGATTTTGGCGTCTTGACGCCATGAACCTGTCGCTCAAGTATGTAACGGTAAGGAGGAACTCCATGATTGAATTCCTGCCGTTCTTTCTTTCTTTTATTCAAGAATAGTTGAGGCTGCTGCAGAGCAGCTGGGCGTGGAGATGGGATTGTAAGCTAGATGGCGCTGCAGTATTCAAGACTATGATGGAATCTGGGTATACGGAATACATGCATTGATTTGGGGAAAATGTATATAGAAAGGAGTTGTAATTTTGAGAATGCAACAGTTGCCGAGGGCCCCCTAGGGCTAACAGAAAAATTTGTTGAAAAAACAAAACTCCAAATAATGGATTAAAAATATAATAGCCACTGATAAACATACAAATTAATTAAACAAACATTAAATTTATAAGTTTTTATTTCAAATGAAAAAATAAGGAACTGGCGTGAAAAAATGGAGGGCCCCAGATTGATGGTTGCCCAGGGCCCGGTTGAGGGTTGATCCGGCCCTGAATATACTGTATGCATGAAAACGAAAAAAAAGCAAAGAGTGCTATCCCTTTCTAGCACTTGTTGACCCTAAGGCAGGGGTCGGCACTAGAGGTGGGCGCGGGCCGGGCCGGGCTTCGTGTCCCGCGGGCCTCGTCATGAAAACTGCGGGCTTCGTGCCTCAAATAGAGTTTGGCACGAAGTCGTGCGGGCTTCGTGCGTTAGCTAAAAGCCCGCTAGGCCCGAAGAGGTATATTTATGGTATATTTTGAAAAGGAGAGAAGGTATATTCCGAATATATCTGAGGGTCTGACGGTATATTTCGGTATATTTATAAGGATTGGATGGTATATTTTTGTATATTTCTGAGGATCGGACTGTATGTTTGATCGATAATTCCGCGGTCACACTACTTGTCTTCTTCGTTTCGTCCAGCAAACATATCTTCAACAATGTCGAGGGAAAAACATTTTAAATTTTTTGAAAAATGCCAAAAACCTTAATTTACTACAAATTTTGGCTAAAAAAATATTAGGCATTCCTGCTAGCTCAGCAACGAGTGAGCGCGTTTCTTCCACATCAGGAAATATTTTAAATGATAGGAGAACCAGGCTAACAAGCGCTAATTTAGATAAACTAATATTTCTTTATAAAAACATGTAACTTATTTAGATTTAAGAAATAAAAACTAATATGTCTATATGTGTATTTTTATGCAGTTGATAATTGTTGGAAGTATCGGGCCGGGCCCGGGCCGGGCCGGGCCCCTTGTTAAATATGACCAGGCCGGGCCTATTCGGGCCTAAAAATTTCATTTCGTGCTCGGGCCGGGCCGGGCCTCAAAAAAGAGGCCCGCGCCAAAGACAATATAAGTATAAGATGCGTAACGCCATACGAAATTTCTGCACACGAATTTTCGGGGCTGGCTCTAGAGCTGGCTCCAGGCTCTCTTGAAATTTTTTAGAGAGAGAGAGCGCTCTAGAGCCAGCCGCGCTCTTGTATGCATACAGCATACGAAGGCACACGAAGTTGGTTCTTTGCCGATGCGACAGCCGAGCCGAGTCGTCGCGACGACTGTATGTGTGCACATGCATACGTTTTTTACAGGGCTGTCGAAATATACCCTTCACTTTATAAGTGCAAGTTAATTTTGCAAGACGCTTACCACCCCAATATTAAAAAACTGTTATATTGTATATGTATATCCCTTCAACGATAATTTATTTTAAGATGGTATATTCGATAATGATGATCGGATATACATATATAAAAATACATAATATATTTAATACATGAAATTCCATGAATCACATTGGAATAATTGCCATTAGGGTATTCAGGATGCGACGTATTCAACGCCGGTATATAATTTCGTTTCTCAACTCATAAAAAGGTTTCCGTCTCGAAAATCGTCCGCTTAGCACAAGTACGCACACATACGCACTTGCTGTTCTGTGTGTACTTACCACGTGAAGCGGATTCTATTTTAGGATTCGTACGCTCTCAAATTTGTGCGAGCGAGATGGCGCGAATTTCGTCGCTGGCCGAAAAATTGTCTTGCATATGGCAATTGAAATGTATGAGCGTTCCGCATCTTATACTTATATTGTCTTTGCCCGCGCCCACCTCTAGTCGGCACACAGCCTCACACATTTTTTTGGTGCGTTTGTGTGCGAAAACAACAGACACGAAGTCAAATACGTTACTTATATCTCTGCCGCTGCGAAAGCCGAAGAATTGTGCATAGGGCACAAGAATGCTCCTCTGCCGCTGAGGCAAGCGGGCAGAATATGAAGCCGTTTGTGCATAGGCCGAAGCATGTTTCTCTGCCGCGACGTCAGCAGAGCAGAATTTTCTCTGCTGGTACGTCATCAGGCAGAATAACGAAACCACACGAAGTCTTTACGCTGTACGTGTGCCGACTGCGCTGCCCGAAATTTTTTCCTATGCACAGTGCATACGACGCTGCCGACCTCTGCCCTAAGGAGAGGGAAATAACCGTTACAAATATGGCAGAGCTGCACTTGTGCTGGAAAAATGGAAATGTCTGACTTCAGTGAGGAATAGATCGACATTTCAGAACATTCCAGAATTACAACTCAAGATGTCGATGTCGCAGCTATTAAGGGAAACCAGCCTGTGTTTGAAAGAGAAGGGTAGGCCAAAGCATAATTTTAATTTGTGCTATCTTGGCTGGATGCACAGCCTCACTTTCCTGGACATGGTGTCCAACCACGCTGCCGAAGACGACCATCCTTCCATGTCGGAAGCCTTCTTCGAAGCTGCCCGGCTTTTGAGTAGCAAAGGGAAGCCCTTGAGTAACTTAAAAGAGTGCTACGATGGCTGGGTGCACAGCATTAGCATCCTGGACATGATGTCCAAACAAGCTGCCGATGTCGATCGTGTCCCTGCCCCTGCCATAATGTGCAACGCGGAGACACAAACGGAGCCACCAAAGCAACAGCAGGCTGAAAGAGAGGAGGAAGAGCCCCGTAGGCGTAAGCAGCCCTGTTGGAGAGTGCAGGAGGAGCAGCCCCCTCTTTCTCAGCCGGTAAATCCTTTGCCAGTGCAAGAAGATCAACAGGAGCAGGCCACTGAAAAGGACGAGGAAGAGCAGCAGCATCGGTGCCAGCATTGGTGCTGTAATCCGAGGAGGGTACGGCGGCGGCAGCGGCAGCGGCTGAGCACCACGAAAATCATGAAAGTCATCACTGCAGCGGAGGAAGCTACGGAGGCGCTGGCTTTGGCGGCGGCCTCTGGGGCAAATAACAACGATGTCAATAGGCCAATAGAATAAGAGACATATGTATGTATAGTGTGCTTGCCATTAGAATCCACATCCACCCCAAGTGTTATTTAGTTGTTGGCTCATTTCCCCATGCATAAAATAAAGTTACATATCTATAGGAATGAAGAATTAATAGATTCGGGCTTTGATTTTGGCGTCTTGACCGGAACATTTCGACACAAATACGTTGATTATAAGCTAGATGGCGCTGCAGTATTCAAGAGTATGATGGCCAATCGGACACAGTTCCATAAGAAAGTTTCCGTAGTGTAGTGGTTATCACGCGTGCTTCACACGCACGAGGTCCCCGGTTCGAACCCGGGCGGAAACAGATCTTCCTTTTTTTTTGATTTATTTTGTCTCATATGTTGATACACTTAATACGTTATATCAAAGACAATATAAGTATAAGTACATAACGCCATACGAAATTTTTGCACACGAATTTTGAATGCTGGCTCTAGAGCTGGCTCCAGGCTCTCTTAAATTTTTTGAGAGAGCGATCTAGAGCCAGCCGCTCTCTTGTATGCATACAGCATACGAAGGCACACGAAGTTAGTTCCTTGCCGATGCGACAGCCGAGCCGAGTCGTCGCGACGACTGTATGTGTGCACATGCATACATTTTTTACAGCGCTGTCGAATATACCCTTCACTTTATAAGTGTAAGTTAATTTTGCAGGACGCTTACCACCCCAATATTAAAAAACTCATATATGTATTATATGTATATATCCCTCCAATGATAATTTCTTTTCAGATGGTATATTCGATAATAATGATCGGATATACATATATAAAAATACATATGTAATTTATATTTAATACATGACTTCACATTGGAATAATTTTCATTAGGGTATCTAGCATGCAACGTATTCAAACCCGGTAAATAATTTCGTTTCTCAACTCATAAAAAGGTTTCCGTCTCGAAAAATGTCCGCTTAGCACAAGTACGCACACATATGCACTTGCTGGTTCTGTGTGCATTCACACACAAGCGGATTCTATTTTTAGATTCGTACGCTCTTCAAATTTGTGCGAGCGAGATGGCGCGAATTTCGTCGCTGGCCGAAAAATTGTCTTGCATATGGCAATTGAAATGTATGGCGTTACGCATGGTATACTTATATTGTCTTTGGTTATATTTTGTTGCTGATTCGCCGAAAGCATAGGCAAAGGCTAGCCAGCCTAAAAGAGAATGGAAGACATACTCCGCGCGCCCGTACCAAAAGCATTAAACGAAAATTTAACGAGCATTTGCTCCTCATGCAACATCTTTGTATTTTTATTGGTCTTTGGTCAGAGTTTTATATTATTATGCAAAATATGAATTTAGTTTAGCCAAATAAATTTTTTAAAAAGTTCATCCGGGCTCAACCGGGATTTGAACCCGGGACCTCTCGCACCCAAAGCGAGAATCATACCCCTAGACCATTGAGCCTCATGCCAAAACGAGCTTCGCATGATATTTTTGTGACCGCCTTTGCAAAACTCTTGCCTCAACAATAAACGGTAGCAGCAGCAAAACCTCTGTTTGTCATAGAAATACATTCCAGTTTTCAATAAAATTAAATATAGCTTTATTTAAAATGCCTTAAATAACAAACTTAGCGTCTCTTAAAGATACCCCCACCGTAACCGCCGCCACCCAAGCCTCCAGAAAAGGCACCAGCTGAACTGTAGGCCGAGGAATAGCTTCCAGAATAGGCGCCACCGTAGCCTCCGAAGCCACCTCCACCGAATCCGCCCAGGCCACCTCCACCGAATCCGCCCAGACCACCCAGGCCCCCCTTCCATCCGTGCTTGAAAGGAACAACCACAGGCTGTGCTACTGGGACTGGAAAAGGCTGTGGAACCGCAACCGGTACAGGAATGGGCTGAGGCACTGGGACGGGCTGGGCCACAGGATAGGGCACAAAGCTGGTGTACACCGGGGCGTAGCCACCGCCCTTTCCACCAAAGCTGTGGGAGTGACTAAGGCCCAAGCATAGCAGCAGCGATAAGCCCAAGATTGTAGCCTGAAAGGAAGATGTTGATCAATAATCATCGAAGTGTGCAATTGGAGACAGCCAAATCACTTACTGAGCGTGTTCCCATGTTGTCGAATGATGATTCTAAGCCTCGCCAACGTCTTAAGTGCCGTATATATAGCCACCCAAAGCCATTTCCTGTACTTCCTTTTGGGCGACGAGTTCAAAGAACTGCGAAAACTTGATCCACAACCAGTTCTTGTCGAACAGAACCCATCAATTTTTATTGTGCCAAATTTTAGTCGCAGCAACTAACGCAAAAATATAACAAATCGTGAGAAAAACATTGAAATCGGTTAAGTTGACGACGGGGTTGAAGGTCGCCCGTGCCGTGTTCCGGGACTGGGCTTTTGGGTGGGCGTAAGTTGGCTCAGAGATTGGCTGGTATAAAAACGGAACCGTCCGTTGGGTAGTCAAGTCAGTCAAGTTCAAGACAAATACGAAACATGGTGAAGATTAGCAGTTCGGTGAGTAGCTTCGGACTATCTTAAATTTGTACAATTATTAACGGTTTTTCTGTCCTTTGGCAGTTGGTGGTGCTGTTGTCGCTCTGTGCCTGCAGTTACGCCCAGTATCAGTATCCGCAGCAGCGCCCTGACATTACACCAGAAGCTGGAGGTCAGCCCACTGGTGGGCCTGTGGACAATCGTATTATACCCCTGGGTGGTCTGCTTGGTGGTGGCGGGGGAGGTGGCCTGCTCGGTGGGGGAGGCGGAGGAGGAGGTGGCCTTTTTAGCAACTTGTTGGGTGGTCTTTTGGGCGGAAATAATGCTCGCCCGCCGCCGCCAGCACCCTACCAAGGATTCGGAGGCGGATATCCTGGTCAATTTGGCGGCGGTTATCCTGGACTTGGCGGCGGTTATCCTGGTCAATTTGGAGGCGGTTATACAGGTGGCTATCCTGGTGGGTTTGGTGGTGGTTATGGCAACCCTTATGGGGGCTACTACGGCTAAAAAACGTTGTTATTCGGTCTGCCGTTGACTACTCCAAGTATTACCCGCAGTTAAACATGTTTGAAAGATAGTTTTAAGTTGTTGACATTGTCCATTAAACGTTATTATATTAAAAGTTCACGCGAAAAATCAAAACACTTCCGCCTTGTTTTCATTTTGTCTGCCAATTGCGCACATGGGGATGTAGCTCAGATGGTAGAGCGCTCGCTTAGCATGTGAGAGGTACGGGGATCGATGCCCCGCATCTCCAAACGGTGTATTTTCTTTTATTTTATTAATAAAAATAGAACAAAAGTACAATAAAAATTTCATTTGCAATGGTGTATGATTTATTTATATTTGCAATAAGATCTTTAGTTTGTCGTGCAATTTACAGTTGTTTGGTTCGCATATTGAAAACTGGAATCGGTGCATGACTCGGCAAGAGGCTCAATGGTCTAGGGGTATGATTCTCGCTTTGGGTGCGAGAGGTCCCGGGTTCAAATCCCGGTTGAGCCCGGCTGAACTTTTTAAAACATTATTTGACTAAACTAAATTCATATTTTGCATCAATAACACTACCCGACACGATTTTTCTTCAAGGAACAAAACCAACTTTTTCTTAAAGATTTGGGGCTTAGAAATGGTAAACTTCTGACCATCTCCTTCACATCGAATTCCTCCCAGGAATTCCTGAAGTACACTTTTGAGTAAACTTTATGCAGCAACTGGTCCATATGGTCATGACCGGCCCTAATGTGGTCTTCAAAATGCCTATAGTCCCAGAGTACTGGGTGCCACAAATTAGAGGCGGTCATCACTTTCTCATTGCTGAGGGTCGCATCCGAAATTACGGCCATTAGGAGGTGTTTTTTCCCTTTTAGCTCGATTTCTTTGAGCACATTCAACTCGATTTTCGCAACATTGTTTTGGGTTTTCGAGCAACGCTGTTATAATAAATATAAACTAAATACATAGGAATGAGATTCGATTTATTTGACAACGTACCAGTCTCATTTGAAGAAAAACAAATAACTCTCCATCAGCTGTTTGAGCGGCAACGACCTGCATTTTCCATATAATTTTCTAAAGGAAAAATTTAATTATTACTCAAGAATATGGAATCTCAGAATTCGGAAAACATGCATTGATTTGGGGAAAATGAAGCTCATCAAAGTGTATATAGAAAGGCTTCGTCATTTTCATAATGTTGTAGAGCATACTGAGCTTTCCTTTTTTAAAGTCTTCTTCAGTGAATTCCTCCTCGACGCTCGTTAGTGCTTGCAACACTTGTTCAGCTCGATCTGCATACTTTAGGAGAAGTAAGTCCTTCACGTTACTATTGCTTAATCTCATTTTCTATTGTTTACAATTTCTATGTAGAGACCCGGTAAAAGTAGCAGTGTGACTGTGAATTTATCAGCGAAACATACCGAAACATACATTTCTGATCCTCGAAATATACCAAAATATACCGATCAAAAAATCATATTGTAGATACCTAAAAATATTTATTTGTATATATACATATATAAATATTTTCCTCCGCTTTTGGTCCTTCCTACGGGTGCGCGGGGTATTTCTTTTCCATTCTCTTTTAGGCTAGCCTTTGTCTCTGCTTTCGGCTTCGTAAATGCCTCGGCCCGCGTCGACAGAATACACCAGCAAAATATGAAGTCAGACGACAGGATTAGGTCCAGGGCCGGATTAGCAGTTAGCCCCTTTGGGCTAACAGAAAACTTTTTTGAAGAAACAAAACTCCAAATAATAGATCAAAAATATAAAAGCCACTGATAAACATACAAATTAATTAAGAAAACATTAAATTTATAAGTATTTTTTCAAATGAAAGGAGAAGGAACAACATGAAATGAAAAAATGGAGGGCCCTAGATCAGAGGTCGGCAGCGTCGTATGCACTGTGCATAGGAAAAAATTTCGGGCAGCGCAGTCGGCACACGTACAGCGTACGTACAGACTTCGTGTGGTTTCGTTATTCTGCCTAATGACGTACCAGCAGAGAAAATTCTGCTCTGTGACGTCGCGGCAGAGAAACATGCTTCGGCCTATGCACAAACGGCTTCATATTCTGCCCGCTTGCCTCAGCGGCAGAGAAGCATTCTTGTGCCCTATGCACAATTCTTCGGCTTTCGCAGCGGCAGAGAAATAAGTAACGTATTTGACTTCGTGTCTGTTGTTTTCGCACACAAACGCACCAAAAAAATGTGTGAGGCTGTGTGCCGACCCCTGCCCTAGATCAGGCCCTCTGCCCTAGATTGATGGTTGATCCGGCCCTGAATAGGTCGAAAAAGGAGAGGGAAATAACCGTTACAAATATGGCAGAGCTGCACTTGTGCTGGAAAAATGGAAATGTCTGACTTCAGTGAGGAATAGATCGACATTTCAGAACATTCCAGAATTACAACTCAAGATGTCGATGTCGCAGCTATTAACGGAAGCCAACCGGTGTTTGAAAGAGAAGGGTAGGCCAAAGCATAATTTTAATTTGTGCTATCTTGGCTGGATGCACAGCATCAGTTTCCTGGACATAATGTCAAACCAAGCTGCCGAAGACGACCATCCTTCCATGTCGGAAGCCTTCTTCGAAGCTGCCCGGCTTTTGAGTAGCACAGGGAAGCCCTTGATTAACTTTAAAGAGTGCTACGATGGCTGGGTGCACAGCATTAGCATCCTGGACATGATGTCCAAACAAGCTGCCGATGTCGATCGTGTCCCTGCCCCTGCCATGCCTCCCATAATGTGCAACGCAGAGACACAAACGGAGCAGCCCCCTCTCTCTCGGCCGGTAAATCCTTTGCCAGTGCAGGCAGATCAGCAGGAGCAGGCCACTGCCACTGAAACGGACGAGGAAGAGCAGCAGGAGCAGGTGATTGAGGCGGACGAGGAAGAGGAAGAGGAGATGGTAATGCAAACTGCTGAGGTATGATTCTCGCTTTGGGTGCGAGAGGTCCCGGGTTCAAATCCCGGTTGAGCCCGGCTGAACTTTTAAAAAAATTATTTTTTATTTGACTAAACTAAATGAATGAAAAATAAATGAATGAAAACTCATCGAATTTTTATACCCGTACTCAAAAAAGAGTTAAGGGGTATATTAGATTTGTGGTAAAAGTGGATGTGTGCAACGCAGAGAAGGAAACGTTTCCGACCCCATAAAGTATATATATTCTTGATCAGCATCAATAGCCGAGTCTATATAGCCATGTCCGTCTGTCCGTCCGTCTGTCCGTCTGTCCGTCCGTCCGTCTTGATGAGCGCCTGGATCTCAGAGACTATAAGAGCTAGATAAACCAAATTTGGTTTCCAGACTCATGTGATATCACACTGCTACAAGTGTATTTCAAAATTTCGCCCCGCCCCCTTTCGCCCACACAAAGGACGAAAATCTGTGGCAGGCACAGTTTTAAAGATACGATAAAACTAAAAACGCAGTATCGTAGAAAATGCCCATATCTACCAGATTGCCGAATCTGAATCAGATCGGATCATAATTATAGCCAGAATGAAGAAATTAATTTTCAGTTGCTTCCCCTCCCCCTCCCCCTCCCGCCGGCGACAACGCATCTCATTTTCCTTCTCGCTCGCACACTCTGCCGCGTTCAGTGCGCGAGCAACCCCTAGCGGAGGAGATGTAGAATCTAATTGGAACATGTAAAATCTACATGTTAGATGTAGAATATACATTGTATATGTAGATGTAGATATCATATGTAGCAAAAAAATGTAAAATGTAAAATTTTTTTTTTTCTAAAATTCTTAAAAATCATAAGCTCAAAAATGTATATACTGACTGAGTACGGGTATAAGTAGAGTCGCGTCCCCAGAAGCGACTCACACGTTCCTTCTCGTTTTTAATAATTTGGGGTCGCTGATTTCAAATATGATCTCCATTTTTTCCATCAGATCAGAGCTCGAATCAGAGATCAGAGATTCAGAGATCAGAGATTCGAATTTTTCGTTTCATGTCAGTCAGATTTTGTCAGCGAGCAATTCTAATTCTTTCGTTTTATATCGGTCACCTTTTGTCAGCGAGCAATTATACTTTTTCGTTTCATATCAGTCAGCTTTTGTCAGCGGGCAACTATAATTATTAGTTTCATATCTGTCAGCATTTGGCAGCGAGCAAATATAATATTTCGTTTCATATCGGTCAGCTTTTGTCAGCGAGCAATTCGAATTTTTCGTTTCATGTCAAATAGCTTTTGTCAGCGAGCAATTCAAATATTTTTCGTTTCATATCAGTCAGCTTTTGTCAGCGATCATTTACAATTTTTTCGTTTCATACCAGTCAGCTTTTGTCAGCGAGCAATTATAATTTTTCGTTTCATGTCAATCAGCTTTCGTCAGCTAGCAATTCAAATATTTTCGTTTCATATCAGTCAGCTTTTGTCAGCGAGCAACTATAATTTTTCGTTTCATACCAATCAGCTTTTGTCAGCGAGCAATTAAAATTTTTTTCGTTGCATATCAGTCAGCTTTTGTCAGCGAGCATTTACAATTTTTTCGCTTCATATCAGTCAGCTTTTGTCAGCGAGCAATAGGAATACTTTCGTTTCATACCAGTCAGCTTTTGTCAGCGAGCAATTAGAATTTTTCGTTTCATATCAGTCAGCTTTTGTCAGCGAGCAATTAGAATTTTTCGTTTCATATCAGTCAGCTTTTGTCAGCGATCATTTACAATTTTTTCGCTTCATATCAGTCAGCTTTTGTCAGCGAGCAATAAAAACATTATTTTTTTTGTTTTAATTTTTATTACATTTATACATTTTTACATTTTTCTTTAATTTTTACATTTTTCCTAACTTTTAAAATTGTTTAGAACCCAGAACCGAAGACCTGGGAACGTACGCTGAAAACTCAGCTGCGTCACTTTCGTTGTATGAACTGGCACATCTATATACTGTATGGTTAGTGGTATACTGTATGGTTAGTGCAAAGACTAAACAATACAAAGATGTTGCATGAGGAGCAAATGCTCGTTAAATTTTCGTTTAATGCTTTTGGTACGGGCGCGCGGAGTATGTCTTCCATTCTCTTTTAGGCTGGCTAGCCTTTGCCTATGCTTTCGGCGAATCAGCAACAAAATATAACCAAAGACAATATAAGTATAACATGCGTAACGCCATACATTTCAATTGCCATATGCAAGACAATTTTTCGGCCAGCGACGAAATTCGCGCCATCTCGCTCGCACAAATTTGAGAGCGTACGAATCTAAAAATAGAATCCGCTTGCATGTGTGAGTACACACAGAACCAGCAAGTGCATATGTGTGCGTACTTGTGCTAAGCGGACGATTTTCGAGACGGAAACCTTTTTATGAGTTGAGAAACGAAATTATTTACCGGGTTTGAATACGTTGCATGCTAGATACCCTAATGAAAATTATTCCAATGTGAAGTCATGTATTAAATATAAATTACATATGTATTTTTATATATGTATATCCGATCATTATTATCGAATATACCATCTGAAAAGAAATTATCATTGGAGGGATATATACATATAATACATATATGAGTTTTTTAATATTGGGGTGGTAAGCGTCCTGCAAAATTAACTTACACTTATAAAGTGAAGGGTATATTCGACAGCGCTGTAAAAAATGTATGCATGTGCACACATACAGTCGTCGCGACGACTCGGCTCGGCTGTCGCATCGGCAAGGAACTAACTTCGTGTGCCTTCGTATGCTGTATGCATACAAGAGAGCGGCTGGCTCTAGATCGCTCTCTCTCTAAAAAATTTAAAGAGAGCCTGGAGCCAGCTCTAGAGCCAGCATTCAAAATTCGTGTGCAAAAATTTCGTATGGCGTTATGTATCTTATACTTATATTGTCTTTGATATAACGTATTAAGTGTATCAACATATGAGACAAAATAAATCAAAAAAAAAGGAAGATCTGTTTCCGCCCGGGTTCGAACCGGGGACCTCGTGCGTGTGAAGCACGCGTGATAACCACTACACTACGGAAACTTTCTTATGGAACTGTGTCCGATTGGCCATCATACTCTTGAATACTGCAGCGCCATCTAGCTTATAATCAACGTATTTGTGTCGAAATGTTCCGGTCAAGACGCCAAAATCAAAGCCCGAATCTATTAATTCTTCATTCCTATAGATATGTAACTTTATTTTATGCATGGGGAAATGAGCCAACAACTAAATAACACTTGGGGTGGATGTGGATTCTAATGGCAAGCACACTATACATACATATGTCTCTTATTCTATTGGCCTATTGACATCGTTGTTATTTGCCCCAGAGGCCGCCGCCAAAGCCAGCGCCTCCGTAGCTTCCTCCGCTGCAGTGATGACTTTCATGATTTTCGTGGTGCTCAGCCGCTGCCGCTGCCGCCGCCGTACCCTCCTCGGATTACAGCACCAATGCTGGCACCGATGCTGCTGCTCTTCCTCGTCCTTTTCAGTGGCCTGCTCCTGTTGATCTTCTTGCACTGGCAAAGGATTTACCGGCTGAGAAAGAGGGGGCTGCTCCTCCTGCACTCTCCAACAGGGCTGCTTACGCCTACGGGGCTCTTCCTCCTCTCTTTCAGCCTGCTGTTGCTTTGGTGGCTCCGTTTGTGTCTCCGCGTTGCACATTATGGCAGGGGCAGGGACACGATCGACATCGGCACAGCGGTCGGACATCATGTCCAGGAAGGTAATGCTGTGTATCCAGCCAGCGTAGCACTCTTTTAAGTTCAGCTTAGGCTTCCCTGTGCTACTCAAAAGCCGGGCAGCTTCGAAGAAGGCTTCCGACATGGCAGGATGGTCGTCTTCGGCAGCTTGGTTTGACATTATGTCCAGGAAACTGATGCTGTGCATCCAGCCAAGATAGCACAAATTAAAATTATGCTTTGGCCTACCCTTCTCTTTCAAACACAGGCTGGTTTCCCTTAATAGCTGCGACATCGACATCTTGAGTTGTAATTCTGGAATGTTCTGAAATGTCGATCTATTCCTCACTGAAGTCAGACATTTCCATTTTTCCAGCACAAGTGCAGCTCTGCCATATTTGTAACGGTTATTTCCCTCTCCTTAGGGTCAACAAGTGCTAGAAAGGGATAGCACTCTTTGCTTTTTTTTCGTTTTCATGCATACAGTATATTCAGGGCCGGATCAACCCTCAACCGGGCCCTGGGCAACCATCAATCTGGGGCCCTCCATTTTTTCACGCCAGTTCCTTATTTTTTCATTTGAAATAAAAACTTATAAATTTAATGTTTGTTTAATTAATTTGTATGTTTATCAGTGGCTATTATATTTTTAATCCATTATTTGGAGTTTTGTTTTTTCAACAAATTTTTCTGTTAGCCCTAGGGGGGCCCTCGGCAACTGTTGCATTCTCAAAATTACAACTCCTTTCTATATACATTTTCCCCAAATCAATGCATGTATTCCGTATACCCAGATTCCATCATAGTCTTGAATACTGCAGCGCCATCTAGCTTACAATCCCATCTCCACGCCCAGCTGCTCTGCAGCAGCCTCAACTATTCTTGAATAAAAGAAAGAAAGAACGGCAGGAATTCAATCATGGAGTTCCTCCTTACCGTTACATACTTGAGCGACAGGTTCATGGCGTCAAGACGCCAAAATCAAAGCCCGAATCTATGAATTCCTTCATTCCTATAGATATGTAACTTTATTTTATGCATGGGGAAATGAGCGTACAACTAAATAACATTTTGAGTGGATGTGGGATTCTAATGGCAAGCACATGACAAGTCTCTTATTCTATTGGCCTATTGACATCGTTGTTATTTGCCCCAGAGGCCTCCGCCAAAGCTACTGCCTCCATAGCCACCGCCTCCAAAGCCAGCGCCTCCGTAGCTTCCTCCACTGCTGTGATGACTTTCGTGATGACTTTCATGAAATTCGTGGTGCTCATAGCCGCTGCTGCCGCCGTACCCACCGCCGTATCCTCCGCCATGTCCTCCGCCGTATCCTCCGCCGATTCCAGCGCCAATGCTGGCACCGATACCAGCACCGAAACCCGCTCCCCCGCCGCCCAGCCCGCCTCCGCCCAGAGCGTGCTTCAGACCCAGCAGTTTGGGGGTGCGCACCTTGAGGCCCACAAAGCCGGCGTGGGGTCCCTTAAAAGCCAACAATTTTATCTTTCCGGCTGCGGCTCCTTGCAGCAAAACCAGAAAGCATACTCCTAGCAGCAGTAGCAGATGGTGTTGATGGCACTGTTATCGAAGGAAAAAGATGCAATTAGGAATTGTAATTTATATTTATATTCCGTTTAATTCACAATCATTTTGTCACAATCACTTTTTTTTAGTCTTTTTAAAACCATCAAAATCCATCACTTACAATGATTTGCATTTTATGCTGTTTTTAACGCGTATTTAATTGATTAAATCTGTTTTTGGCCAAAGATCAGAGGCCTGGCATTTATTTGAAAATTACTTTATCTAGTTGTAAAAATTTCAAGTCAAGTTCAAACGTATGGCGTGGGCCGATGGATGACGAAGCTTGTCTCTTGGCTTGGCTGGGACGTGGACCACGACGCGTGTTCAATTGAAGCGGCTGCGAGGCAAGCGACGTGTTTTTATCTGTCTGACGCTTTTTTCTGCGCGCGTCTCGAATCGCCCTTATGCAATCGGCCGCCGCTAAAGAGCCTCTTGTCTGCCTTTTGTTGTTGCTGCTGCTGCTGTGAACTTCAGGTTGAGCTTATATTTGCCTTATGCACATGATTTGCCCCTGAAAATTTCAGGTTTTTTGAGAGCATACAACACACAAAAAATTGGGCATGAGAAAAGAAATGAAGGAAAAAAAAATGAATGAACCAGCGAATGTCAATGGGAATTAAGCGCAACATGTGCTAATTTAGAAGCATGAACAAAATGTAAAAAGCGGGAAATACATTTCAATAATCTTCACAGATTCAAAACCAAATGTGTGAGAGAGAGAAAGAGGGAGAGGTTCTTATCCAGTTGGTGCTCAGCATATCAACACGAATCGAAGCCCCAAAGGTTGCAAATAGAAAACGAGTGAATCATTTTGGGTATTTACGTTTTATTGACCTCCATCAAATTAAAAGCCAAATAAAGAAATCAAACAAAACACGCTTAGAGCCAGAAATTTCCAGCATTTAGCCAAAGCAAATATGCATCTGTTTGGCAATCACTCATCTGCCATATCCAAAGGGGTATCCGCCGTAGCCGCCATAGCTGGAGGATCCGTAGCTGTTTTGCTGATTACTAAACTGATTGTACTGCTGGCCATAGCCTCCATAGCCTCCATATCCTCCATATCCACCAAAACCGCCATAGCCCCCATAGGGCGATCCGAATCCTTGTTGATATCCAGCGCTACTACTCGCTGCAGCACTCGCACTGCTCGAGGCATAGTTGCCGCCATAGCCCGAGTAGGGCGCAAAACCATAGCCAAATCCTGATCCTAGGCCCCACTGGGGGGCACTCAACACTTGGAGGCTCAGGCAGCACAGCAGAAAGGACAGCGTAAAATACTATAAAAGAGAAGAGAAGAATACGAATTAGTGGTTTTGTTGGAGCGACTAAATCTTTGTGTACACCCACCTTCATGGTTAGCAAACAACTCAATGGCCTCTGATTAAAGTTTGGCATTCTTATAGTCGCCGCAAAACGGAAATACGCCTCGAAGTAATTACAATGATGAGAAATATAATTATAGAACAAATGCGAAGACATAATCATTAGTACTCGTACACTCGTAGTACCTACTAATATCTGAGATATTTGATATAGAATCTTGAATATTTTTTGTACTTGAACGATTTAGTTTTTTTCCTAAATAAAGATGAAACAATCTTAAAGGGGTCACATCGATTTTAATCCAAGCTAAATTGCCTGCTACATTTCTCTAGTTTATCTAGCGTTCACTTGTAGGATATTTTCCCTTAGAATTCCATCAATATTCAGGTCTTTTTCAAGCCCCAACCCATTAAGATTTTATTTATTTTCCTCTCCTGATCTATCATAGTCGTACAGCTGTCTTTGGATACAACTACAACTTCCTGACTAGCAATGATGATGATGTGGGTTGGTCTCTCTATGTTAACTCCGCTGACGTCAAGCGATAATCAGCTTTAGGGTGAACAAACTTTGAAACGAAAGTGAAGGCACAACAATGGAGCAGAATAAATATGAGGGGGGGGAGTGCGCCACATGCATATACATATCAGACATATCGTTAGTCATATACTTACAATACCTGGCAACAAGTGCTAACGAGCTAAAAGAGTGCGGGTCGACAATGGAGGCATACCCATATGCTTCGCTGCACGTTCTTTGAAAAAGTTTGTTGCCCAAGTCATTTGTTTTTGCTCGTTGACAGCGGTTTAGCGAGGCATACCCTAACTGGGGGATTATCTTTGACCTGGCATGGGATTTGTGGGAATATACAATATTTTACTCGGGATAAGCTGCAGTAGAGGATGGAAGAAGTCTTAAAAGAACTGATAATGTAGATAAAAGCTGCCACTAAAGAAAAACCTTCTTATTTAAATTAGTGTACATGCAAATCGTCGTAGTGCTCCCCTCTTCGTGATGGTCTTGAAAAGCGGCTAGGCTGGTGATTGTAAATGCTTCAGTGATTATTTTTATTGGGTTTTCCATGATCTTGATCGGCCGGCCACTGAAGTTAACCCTCAAAAAAAAAATGATAATTTTGGGCTGGCTGAAAAAATTAACGCATTCTGATGCCCAGTCAAGCAGCGCCGCCGTCGCATTGTCCGCCACGATTATTATTGTGTCTTGTGGACCTGGGGGGGCATTCCCAGATTTCGTCACAAACTGGTTTCGCTTTCGGCTGTGTTTGTTCTGCAATTTGCGTAGAATCACTTGGCAATGCGTGGCGGCGCGTAGTTGTAGCTTCTTGACGATACATATTCGGATTCGGGGTATAAAAGCTTCGGGCACTTCACAATTGCAATATAGTTTCGTACAAGAAGCGCTCGATATCGTCATGGCTGTGATTCGTGCGAGTTGTGTAAGTGTGTCTGGATCCCGCGCTGTGATGCACCTGCTCATTGGCTTGCTCTCTTCGTTTCAGTTGCTGTTCGTGTTGCTGGTCGTCGGTTATGGTCGGGCGGCACCTGCTCCAGCACCCGTCAAGGCGGAGGGACGCACTTTTGGGCTCTTGGGCGGCGGATTCGGTGGCAGTGTTGGTCTCAGTGCTGGAGTTGGCCTAGGCGGAGGCCTGTACAGTGGCTTTGGCGGCGGCGGTTACCCAGGCGGATATGCTAGTGGCTATCCAGGGGGGTACGGTGGCGGCTACGGTGGCGGGTATTCTGGCTATCCCGGGGGCTACGGTAGCAGCTATTCCGGCTATCCTGGCGGTGGTTACTCTGGCTTTGGACACGGACCACATCATCACGGAGGATTCTATCCTGGCGGCGGCGGTGGCGGCGGGTCATACTACAACCAGGGCGGCTCGTACGGCGGCCAGTACAGTCAGTCGCAGTACTCCAATGGCTACCACAATGGTGGCTATGGCGGCGGTGGCTACGGAGGCGGTTTCTTCGGTTAAACTTAAACCTCTCCTGAGGCTGTGATCCACCTGTCTAGTTAAGTGCCTTATTATTTGTACAAGTGTACTCGTACCTGCGTCGGAGATTGTAAAATACACACACATCAAAAAAGACTAACCAAAATCCGGTTTCTCTGGGGGAATACATACAAAGGTACATAGGTACCATTGTCCTTGGCACAACTTTTTTTTGTGTTGCGATTCTCTCGCTGCTTTTAATGAGCCGAACGAGACGTGCATAAATTTAATGGGCATAGATCCGAGATTGATGTGTGTGTGGCAGGGGCAGGGGCAGGGGCAGGGGCATGACTAAGCTGTTGCCTGGACATGGTCTGGGGATTTCCGCGCCACAATCTTATCCCACTATCGTAGCTGGAGAATCCCAACTGATTTTTCGGTCCGAAATTTGGCTGCCAATTGAACCATTTCCTTATGGCCACAACGTGCACATTAAATAAGATTTATTTGTGGTTCTTACGCATTCCATTTGGGCTGTGGAAATAAATATTTTAAGGTTTCTAAAACGCTTTTGGGCAAGTAAATTTGTGCACACAATTTATACGCCTAGGTAGGGTCTACGGACTAGGGCGCTGCATAAATCTACAGTAGCTTCGGATTCAGAGATGCACCAGAAATTGATTGAAATTGTAGCCTGTCGAGTCCCTGCGGAACACTCTTGGTACCTAATCTTTGCAGCATTTGGCATCTTTCCTCTTTTAAAACTGCCGCTTTTCGTCGTGTAAATTCGTTCTTATTTTATTTCCTAACAGATACTCGTAATCACATTTTAACTACATCTCTATACATAGTGTGAATGGGTGAATGATCGTCCACTGCTCATCCGTAGCTGCTCCGCAGATCCCTCGAGCGATAGGCGCCCGTTTGGTAGACGGGCTGCACCTGTCCGGTGAGCTGTTGGATGATGCCATTCACAGTGGTGGCTACGCCGCCCACCAGTTGGGCGGGCGTCACAGGTGGCTGCAAAAGAGAGTGTGAGCGGGGACGGGGCTCGTAATTCATTCATCGATCGTCGCTCGACTTACCGCTCCAGCTGAATCGTAGTAGACACGATTGGGCACGGGTCGGCGCACTGGGGGCGCCGCGTAGCTGGGATCCACGGCAGGATCGCTCTGTAAGTCGCCCGCAGCCAAAGGCGGCCGAATGGGGTCTGACAGGGGAACACCCGGCACAGTTGCGGCTCCAAGCACGCCAGGAGCGAACAGGGACAGCCACGTGGCGAACGGAGCATACGGGCGGACTGGCACGGGGTAGGGCGCCACCGGTGGTGGAATGGGGTCTGAGAGCAGACCGCCTAGGCCGCCGCCAAAGCCGCCTCCTAGCCCACCTCCGCCGCCGCCGTACCCACGGCATCCTCCTGGATAAACTTTGTACACATTCACATCGAAGAGGAAACGTCCCTGCTCGTCAGGATCCTTCTGGCCACCCTTGGCATCGCGTCCGAAGGGTGAGCAAGGACCTCCGCCTCCATAGCCGCCATACCCTCCGCCGTAGCCCCCATAGCCGCCATACCCGCCGTATCCCAAGTAAGGACGAGCCAATTTCCGGAGCTTCTTCTTGAGCAGCAAAGTCCTCTCATCGCCGACGGACTCGTCCAGTTCCTGGTTCGAGGCGCCCGCAAATTTGGCATTCTCCGTGTCCGATTTGGTGGGTGCAGCAGTGCCACTGCTCTGCCTCGTCTGCCGATTGCTCTGCGATGGGATGGTGTTATAGGAGTAGGGCGAGGGCCTGCGCCTGGGGTAATCGTAGCTGTAGCTGCGTGGATAGGCCACGGACCAACTAAGGGCTCCCAGAAGGAGAACAAGCAGCAGCTGCATGTCGAGGATACGCGGATTCACTGAGTCGTCGAAGACTTCTGCTCGGTTGGCTGGATGGACACGAACTGTTCCTCTGCTGTGGAGCATGCCCCAACTTATCACCTTACCGCTGTGCAAAAAAAAAAAACAAAAACCAATTTGGCAAATTTGTTGCTCTTCCCTTAGAAGGCAGCCCCAGACACCGACTGACGCTATTGCATAATGCCCTTTTTTTATTGGCTCGCATTTTTCCAGCGCATTGTTTTGATATGGTAATCTAGGCCGCCCACCCAAAGCCCCGGCCCCGGCCCCAGCCACAGCCCCAGCCCCAGCCCCAAGCCACCGGCATCATCATAATCATCATTATTACCATCATCATTATAGTCGCGTCGCCCACATGTGCCACAACAATAGCAAAGGGAAACAGCAACAACAACATGCTACACTCTGCGACTCATGTGCATTGACCTGTGTCAGCCAACGCGGCTGGCTGCTCTGCCAGCTCTCACCAATTGTAGTTTTTGGCCAAAAAAAGTTATTTCTGCCAAAAATGTAATATCAAAAGTGGGTCAATGTCGCCCTGGGATCGCACCTAATTAGTTGTGGGGGGGATGTACGGATCCATCTAACATTAATCACCTTTTTTTGTTGCTGTTTTTCTCAGTTGGAAACCTAATCTTTCCACGGCATCAGTTGACAACGCATCGTAGCAAATTCTCTCATTCGAGAGTCTTCAGATTAAGATTTGCATTGCCATTTGGGTAAGCCAAATCTGTTCAAAAATGAATCAGCTGGGCTACAATCAATCCTTTATCTAATAAGTATTTTTATTCGCCTTCCCTTTAAGTACACACTTCTCATGCTCATGCTGTGGCATATCATACCTAGACAATTTACTTGATGCACACATAAAATCGTTTGGCCTCCACAGGGGGGCAGTCTACTTAAGGTTACAATAAAAAGTATACACTTTAAACTTAAAACTAGAAAAACAAAACTGTACAAATGGGAAGAGAAATTCCAGCTGCGAGCTGCCTCTGTTGGAGAGATAGGAAGTAGGATCCGTAGTGAGCTTAGTATCCAGATAATAACTTAAAAACTGAGCTGGGAAGTCTGTGCGTTGTGTACGAGGCGCCGATACGCCAGGCCACTGGTTAGACAGCCATTTTGGGTTTGTTAGCCTCGGCCCGTTTGCGCATCGCCCTCAGACGCTGTGTGCAGTAGACGCGCAGAAAGATGGCCACGAAAACGATGAGAACACCAAAGATGCCCAGAGCCGACACGCTGTGGTGGTAGATGAAGCAAGAGAGCATGATGGCTACGGCCTGTGGGGCAAAGAGGATGAAATAGATAAGCGGGGTTCTGGGTTAGCCGAGAGACAGTTGAGTAAACAGAGAGTGGTGGGAAGTCACCTGACGCAGCGTCATAATGATGGTAAACACAACTGGGCCGAAGACATCGATTGTGTGATAAATAAACAATTGCCCGACCGCTGAGCAAATGGAAAGCACAACCATATCAAACACGAATTTCGGATGCTGAAAGTTGGATACTTGACGTGAGGTAGGACTAAACATAAATCGTGTGTGTAAATATATCTACCTCGGTGGCAAACGAAAGGGAGTCCATGAATCCGCCCTGCATGGACAGCGAGGCGCCAGTGAAGATCGAGGAGAAGAGATTAACGCCGCACATCATCTGGAGGGAGGTCATGCCGTAGCTCTTGAAGAGCGAGCCCTGCCAGTTGGCCGTGAAGCTGTCAAAGACCATGTACAAGGAGAGCAGGAATACGCCCGTCAGGGTGGTCACTCCGCTGGCTTTGTTGCTGTCCGCCGAGCCACTCATGAAGAAGATCATGCCCAGCGAGATTAGCACAGCTGTGGCGTACTCGTACGATTCGTACTTGGCTTTCGACATGATCTTGCCCATCACCATCACCGGGATTATTTTGCACGACTTGGCCAGCACCTGAGTGGGAAAGTTGACAAATTTCAGCGCCTCATACTGGAACCAGGCGCTCATTATGTTCGAGAACGAGGCATACGAATACTTGTAGAGCGGTGCACGGTGGCGCGTGGGCGAGGGCTGCCATTGCAGATAGATGAGGGCCACCACAAAGGCCAGCAGTCGGTTGGCAAACACCAGAAACTGCGAATCCTTGAACTTGGCACTCTCTCCAGCAAAGTTCAGGTATTTCTGTGTCATGATCTTCTCCTGCAGCACGCCCCAGGTCAAATAGGAGACCATGAGGCCGCCAAAGCACCAAAGCAGCTGCACAGCCTCCTGGGAACTCGTACGCTTGCCAGCCGCCGATGCTGCTGCTGATCGTTCCTTATCCGCTGCACTGGCCGCAGCATCCAATGGCTCGTAGCTGGAGTTGCCGGTGATGCACATGTTGATGGCCGTGTGCAGAAAAGTCTTGTTGCCCCTCTCGAGATAGCCGGTGCGTGCCACATATTTGTAGATGAGATAGCCGGGCACAAAGACGCAACTGTAGCCGAAGCAGTTCACCATCAGTTTCAGCAGCCAGGCATAGTCGGAGCTCTGGGCCTCCACCAGCTGCGACAGGGTCACATCCTTGGTGTAGAAGCCGCCCAGCGATGCTCGCAACAGGTCCGAAAAGAAGTGTATGACCAGCAAGCTGACCACGATGAAGGAGCTGGAATGGCCACCAAGCACCAAAATTGCTATGTAAATAAACGAGTAAATGGAAAATCTATGTGGCTGTGTACCCACCATATAATTAGCTCCGGCACTCGATTACTCATGGTGTACACGTGCATGCCACTCTTCTTTGGCAGAATTTCGCTGACACGTCCGTTCCTGGATACCGGGTTGAACTTCTTATTGAGCGGTCAGCCCTCGGGGGCGAATGAATATTTTTGCCGGCAAACGCAAGTCAAGTGTCAGAGGTTCAATAACCGCTCAAACTAGTTTTTGCATAGCATATGTGCTCCACGCCAACAAGAACAACAGCAGGCAGCAATAATTTATTGTGTGGAAGTTTGTTTATACAGACGTCGCGAGGGGTCCAGATGTGCGTGCGACTCTCTTGGCTTTGGTATGTCTTCTGCTCGCTCCAGACTCCAGACGGGTGCTTGGGTTCTGGGCGTTTGGCTGCTGCTGGCCGGCCGGCAGCCAGTTCTTTGGCCAGCTGTTTAAATATTTAAATTCAAGCTGGAGACATCACTAAATTTCGCATATATGTACCCCCCTCCCAACGTTTGCTATGGATGGCATAAAGTTGATAGTTTGTTTGTATCGGGTATACAGTATATCGATATAAATTCGTTAAATATAATATGAATATTATATCATCTGCTGAAGTAATTTTCTGAAATTTGGATCAATTGGACATTATTTTATTGTTGATACCGGTCATTATATCACATATTCCTGCGACTTTTTACTCTAGTCATCGGTGCACAGAAAATATCGGTATTTTTGTGCGATAAGCGAAACTCAATGGCGCTTTATTTTGAAAATAAGAGCTTACTGGTTTTTCAATTAACTGAAAGTTCCTGAAGTTTCAATCCCGATTGTGTGCCCTATTGCAACCTAATGAATCTACTTACAAATTTAAATTTTAGTGCCGGCTTTTAAATAATTGAATGTATTGCTAATTATTTGTATTGGTTTTTATTTAATTATTTGTTGTTGCTTATACAAACAGGAAACAATTAACTTAGCTTTATTTTTACAATTAGCTCTAATTAGAAATAATAAAAATATTGAAGCTTTTTGTTTTACTTTTTCTCCTTTTCTGTTTTACAATCTTTATGTGTAGTGTATTATTTTAATTTTATAATAATTGGTTTAAATGGTAGTTTACATATATGTATGTATGTATGCTTGTATCTGAGTGTATACACTAAAGCAGCGAGGGGCAAGGAAGGGCGGGAGCGGCGGCGACTTTTGGGGTGGGGGGGGGGCCAAACTATCCTGAATATATATCGCTATATAAGAAGTTGATATTTGGCGTTGTCGCGACTGCGCTCACATTTCCACATTAACTGTTGTATGTTACATTCAAAATTTAGTTAATTCAACTACTAAATATACATGCTACATAATGCTTTTGCTGCTTTGTTTATATATTTTTTTTTTTATTATTATTTAATTGTATTTGTTTAATGTATAATTCCGTTAATTGTTTTTACGTTTCTCTCGCTTTCGATATCGCTGTCGCTTTAAGTTTACAATTTTCGTTAGAATTTAGCTTTCTTCTTCTTCATTTATGTACATAAAAACAAAAGGAACTATATCTTTCAGTCTTTTTAGTGTGTGTGTGTGTGTGTGTATGTGTATGTGTGTGGGTGTATGTGTAAATGTGTGGTGTGGCTGTGTTGGTGTGCATGTGTAGAATATCTATTGTTTCATTATGTATATATTTAGCATATTACATATTTTAATTAATTTAATTTTGTTTGTTTTTATTTTTTTGTGTTTTTTTTTTAGTTTTTTTCAATAGTTTTTTTTTTTACTTCAGTTTTCAGTGTAAATATCGCTTGCTTCCCAGTTTTGTTTATATAATTAGCACTAGTGTTTTCCTTCTTTGTTTTTGTTTTGTTTTTGTTTTGTTTTAATATTAGTTCAAGTTGTTTCTTCTGCACAATTGTTTTTACAATCTAACCAATTTGTATAATTCATTTAAATATTTAATGTGTGTGTTCCTTGCTTCCGCTTTTGCATCTGCTAAAAAATAAATGAAGACACAGAAAAGCAGAATAAACGTTTGCACATGCGCTTTTTGCTTTTGTGTTTACGTTGCTTTTGCTTTTGTTTTTGCTACGGCTTTCTTGCTTTAGTTATTAAATATATATTTTTGCGTGTGTGTATATAGTTAAATATAATAATATAAAGAGCGAAGGCAAATATCGAATACTTTTGTTGTTGTTGTTGTTTTTTTTCATTTAAAAATTCCATTTGTTGCAGTTGTTAATGTTGCTGTTCTGGTTCTGTTTTTTGTTTTGTTTCTTTGCAAAAAGTTTTTAAAAGAGAATGTTGTGTGTGTGTGTGTGTGGTTCTCGTAACGAAATGTGAATTGGCTTATTGGGTTGATTGGTTTTCTTTTGCTAGAATTCATAGAACTGTCAGGATAGTGCACTCAGCAAAACATATCACGTTCAGTTCTTAAATCGGTCCACCCATATATATGTAAATATATATGTTTTTGTGTGTGTGTATATAATTTTTCTATTGTTTCGTCTATTATCTATTGTAGTAAAATTAAGTTTTTAAGAAAAACAAAATCCGTCCGGTTTCTTGTTCATATTTGAGTTTATGGCGTATGGCAGATAATATTTATCTAGGATTATCTAGATGTTTTTCTTGTACGGATGTGAGTCTATGGATGTGTGTGTGTGTAAGTGTGTGTTTTGTTGCTTTTCTTTCATCTATAGTTAGTACATAAAATGCTTTGCTTTGCTTTTGCTTTTGCTTTTTGCCTTTCGTGTAGTGTATATAGCATTAAAAACGACCAGCAGGCAGATTGTATACAATTATTTTATACTTATTTAGTATATATATGTATGTATATGATGCATCAGTTACTTAAGCTCTCAGTTTTTTTTTTCTTTCTGTTTTTGTTTTGACATTACGTTATGGTTTTCCTTATTCTCCTCTCCGCCATCTCCGAAGCTTGGCTTCAACAGAAATTAATTTAGAAAATAAAAAAGAAATCGAACAAAAGTGTTTTGCGCCTCGGCCTCTCTCGCTTAATGGTTACACATACACATCCTCTCGCTCGCTCTCTCGCTATCTCTCACTTTCTATCTCCATTCAAAAATTTACAAAATTCTATGTACAGACGACAATAAATATTACAATTATGAAATGTAAAAAGGGAGAAGAATCAGAGAAATATATAAGAAACAATCAAGCGAACACTTGGTAAAACAATAAGAAAAATAAAGTCAATCAGTATCAGAATAAATATAAATATAAATTAAAATCCAAGCATTCAATTTTAAATATATAAAAACGCACTAAAAACATTTGCTTGCATGCAGCTAAAATTAGTTGAGTACATTTAGATTTAGTGTGTGTGTGTGTGTGGGGGAAAAAGATATATATGGTATATATATATAACTGTAGATTGGTTTGGATCTCTGTGTGTACAATTTATAACTAGCTCTAGCTAAACTCAGTGAAGACAGTGTAATTCTGTATTTTGAATTGCTTGTTTCTGTTTCTGTGTAGTTTCTCGTTTCTTGTTTCTTCTGCTTGTACATTTTCCATATTCTTTTTGTTTTTGTTTTCTTAGCTATTTTGCATTTTCGATTGAACGCGTTTTGGTAGGTACTAAAAATTATCATGATAATTATTAAATATACATAACGTATAAGTATAAGTATAAGTAATAGTATAAGTAGTAGTAGTAGTAGTAGTTGTAGTATTAGGTAGTGGCTCATAATTCAATAATTTATAATTGGTAATTGGTAGAATTTGTATGTCTATTTAAACGGTACTTAGGTTGGTTGGTTGTTGGCTTTTGTACTTTTGTTATTTGCATGTAGGACTTGTTTTTGCTTCGCTTTCGCTTTTCTATCTGTTTGTCTGTTTTGTTTTGTTTTTGTTTGTTTGTTGTTTGTTTTTGTTGTTTGTTTTTGTTGTTTGTTTTGTATTGTTTTAACGGCTCTAGTTTCATTGATTTAAACAAAACAAAAACTATCGTGTGTAAATACTAAACGAATACGTTAACATAAATAGGCTTAATCCAAAAAAAAATGATTACAATTTATACATAGATGTGTGGGGGCGGTTGGGGTTGGGGTTGCTTGGCCTTAATCCTAAATTGTTAATCGAAGCGAATTTACAGTTCCCATAGGCATCTCCACTCCACTCTATTTACACTCTCTTTGCCTTTGCATCCTTTCGTCCCTCGTGGACTACGCTTCACGTCCTATGAATCCATTTGGTGGTGGTGGCCGCGTCGAACCGCTCGCCTGCCTCAGCCAGTTCTCCTTCAGCGAATTGGAAACATTACTGGCCGCCGCTGCCACTGCTTCAGCTGCTGCCCGCGCCGCTCCAGAGTTTGCCGCTGCAGTTGGCGACTTTCGCGTCTGGCTGACGCTTCGACTGCGCTGCGGATTCGGTTTGCTGGGCGCTCGCTGCCTGGGCCTACTCAGCGGCATGCGCTCCATTTTTATGTGCTCCACATGCTCATCATCCAAGTCCTCGTCTTCGTCTTCGTCGTCGTCGTCATCATCCTCGGCGTCGTCCTCCTCCAGGTCGTTGTCCTCATCGGAGCTGCTCAGACGGGACTGCGGTGCATGCATGAAGGCGTAGCTTGGATTGCTGCTAATTACCAGCTCTGGCTCGCTCATCAGCACATAGTTGGGATTGTCGTTTGCTCCTGCCCCTGCATTAGAGTTGGAGTTACCCTGACTCTGTCTCTGTGCCTGTCCCTGTAACGGACCCTGCCCCGTTGTGGGATGCATCATCTCGTAGTTGGGATTCGGACTACTGGTGGTCAGTATTGTGGCCTGTTCGCTATCCGTTCGTTGGCTCCAGGAGTTACCCGGCGACCTGGTCGTGCCACCGCTCGTTATCGACTCGTCCAGCTGCCTGTAGTTGGGATTATCGCTGATAATGGTCGATGCCCCGCCGCTGGGCGTCGCAGTGGGCGTGTAGAAGCGCGGTGTGCCCGTGTAGCTGCCCGCAGAGCCACTGCCGCCGCTCTCGATGGTGCCCAGATTGCCCATGGCCACCGGATGGCTGGTGAGGTTCGAATTGCTGCTGGTGCTGGGTGCATTCGAGGCGCTGCTCTTGTAGCTGGCATTGCTGCCGCTGCGCTTGTGGTTGAACAGATGACGATTGAAGATGTTGGCCCTGTTCCGCAGCGTGTCGGCCACGACTCGCTTCAGGCTGGGATAGCGGCCGCCGCCGCCGCTTGTACCTGTGTGGGAGCTGGCATTCGAACTGGCCGCCGAGGCCGTCGATGGCTGCAGGGAGGAGCCGCCTCCACCAATGCCAATCACATCGTCGGGCATGGAGCTGCTCATGATGATGGGCTGGCGAGACTTTCGCGGCAGCAAATGCTGCTCCCCGCTCAGCTTACCGCCGCCTCCACCACCGCCGGTGCTGCCGCTTCGGCTCGTGGGCAGCTCGGCAAAGTTCGGACTCGGATCGTAGATCTCGTAGCCCCGATCGGCGACCAAGGCCTCGGCGTCCGGCTGCACATAGGCAGACGCATCGTCGCCATGCGAGGCCCCCGCCGTGGGCATCGTCGACTGGGCGTCGGGAGTGCTGCTCACAATGAACCCAGACTGCAGGCTGAAGGGCGAATGGGTGACATGATCGTCCACCAGGGCAATGGGACTCTCTGCAGCCTGGTCAAGGGATGAGTTGGGGTCCATGTTGGACTTGTAGCCCTGATAGTCGCCCACCCTGAGCGGCATTGTGGCATCCTCCTGGTCCTGGTCCAGCGGCACTGCCGCAAAGGCATCGTTCTGGCTGCGCTCCTTGCGCTCCTTCTCACGGTGCACCAGTCCCGCCTCCGAGTGATAGAACGAAACGTCCTTGAACTCCGAATCGGGGCACTGCTGCTCCAGATACGCAATGATGTCCAGGAAACTGGGCCTCGCCGACGGCCGATGGTGCCAGCAGCGATGCATCAGCTTGTGCAACACATCGGGACAGTTCTCCGGCCGCTCCATAATGCAACCATCGATGACGTTGCGCAGCACCTGCTCGTTGGACATGCCCTGATAGGGCTGGGCCGCCAGCGTGGCCATCTCCCAGAGCACCACACCGAAGCTGAAGACATCGCTGGAACTGGAATAGACGCCATCGCGCAGACTCTCCGGCGACATCCAGCGCACGGGCAGCAGACCCTTGGTGCCCTTGCGGTAGTAGTCCGTCTCGTACACGTCGCGCGTCATGCCAAAGTCACCGATCTTCACCGTCAGATCCTCGGCGACCATGCAGTTACGTGCCGCCAGATCGCGATGGACAAACTTCTTCGCAGCCAGGTAGGCCATGCCGTCGGCTATCTCGATGGCCATCTGATAGATGCGGCCATAGGTGGGCGGATGGACATTACCGGTGACGCCGATGCGATTCAGATACGCCTGCATCGCTTCGTCGCGCTCCTCGGGCCGATGGGCGCGCAGATAGGACTTTAGATCGCCCTTCTTCATCAGCTCCATGACGACCAGGGCGGGCTGGCCCCGCGAGCAGACGCCCAGCAGTCGAACCACATGGAACGTGTCGAACTCCTTCATCACACTGGCCTCGCTGAGGAAATTCGTACGCTCCCTGTCGGTGGCATTCTCGTTGACCGTCTTGATGGCGCACTCCTGGTCGGCGTTGCCCTGCAGCGACTTCAGTATGCCCTCGTACACCATGCCAAAGGAGCCCTGGCCGAGCGGCGCCAACTGGATGATGTTCTCGCGCAGCACCTCCCAGTCGTCCGGTATGTACTGCATGCTCGCATAGAACGGATTCACGTCCGTGTTCATGTGCAGATCGTTGGGCCGTCCCTTCTTGCGCAGATGCCGCACATAGACCATCAGGCAGACAATCACCAGGACACAGATGATGCCCGAGAACCAGATCACGTACTTCTCATAGCTTGGTCGTGGCTGTGCGGGCAAATCGATTCATTTAGATGGGCGCAAAACTCAGAATAGGGCTGGCAAAAACTCACCTGAACATCGATGTAGACGAACTCCGAGTAGATGCCCTGCCCCGCCAGGGAATTGGCACGCACCCGAAAGCTGTAGTTGCCCTCGTTCAGATGCAGCGGATAGCCGTCGGTGAGATTGAGGAAATCCGCCACTAGGATGCACTTTTTCTCCTCCACCTGATCGGGTTTCTGCAGGCGATAGGCCAGCTCGTAGGCCACAATATCGCCATTGGGATCGCTGGGCGGCAGCCAACGCAATCGCACCGAGGACTGAGTGTTATTCGCGTTCTCCCGGGCCACAGTCAGGTTGCGTGCCATGTCGGCATCGTCTGTACAAAAAAAGGAAGAGCGAGAAAGGGAAGGTTCAGGGTTGACTGAGTGCGCTTCGGATGGCAGCTGTACTCACCCTTCCTGTTGGTCAGCTTGTAAATGGGATTCATGGAGCTGCAGATGGGCTCCTTGTCGGTGGGACCCGCTCGCTCGCGACATGCCACCACAAAGATCGTGTAGAGTGTGAAATGCCGCAGCCGCTTGAACGAGAAGGAGGTCGTGTTGGCCAGCACCTGGGCGCCCAGCACCTCGTAGTAGTCGCCGAGGGCCGACATTCGCGTCTCGTTCACCCACGCCTCGGGATCCACAATGCTCGGCGTCGATATGTTCAGGGGCTCGTCCTTGAGGGCACGCACATGCCGCAGCAGAAAGCTGCCGCCCAATCTCTCGAATCCAGACTCAAAATCAATATCCCGTCGCCGTCGGATGGCGTTTCCCGGACCACTGCCATCGTCAATGCTGTTGGCGGAGGGCAGCAGGCCGACAACCGCACCTGCACCGGCCCCAGCACCTGCGCCAGCCTTGCCCTGCGCCTTCTTCGGTGACGGCACGTAGATAAAGTTCTGCAAGGCATTCTCAAACTCCATCTGGGCGTGTATTCGGCGATCGTCTTGATCCCGATCGGCGGTCTTTCTGCTGCCCTCCTCGCATTTGCAGTCCCCCTCGCGCGTTAGGGGATCCGGTTGGGTTTTCTCTGCCGGCGTTGGGGCCACAATCAACTCATTGTCCATGGCCTTAACAATGGCTGTGAATGGCAAAGGGCAAAGGGCAAAATGGAAATATGGCTTAGCTTGGCTATGGCTTCTCCGGCTACAAAGGGACTCTGCACTTACGATCCACGCAATAGTTGCGCTGTGGCGTATCCTTGGCTGTCCGTATGGTCAGCTCTGCCTTGACATAATAATGCGTCAGCTTGCTGTACGGATACCTTGGCGGATTCCAAGTGACTTGCTGCAAATCGAAAACGAAATCGATATCGATAGATGTGTTAGTGTCAGGCAAGCCCTTTCCCCATCCCCCATTCCGCCCCCAATCATACTCACAATTTCCGAACTGGAAACCGAAGTGGCCGTGATGGCCGGCACCATTGACGGCTGGGCGGGCATCGTGCGAAAGTACATGACATCGCTCTGGCCATTTGTCGACTCGGAGGAGATGGCCATGGTGCGCACATAGAACGCATACTGCGTGTAGGGTATCAGATCGACAAAGATGTGGCCAAACACCTTAATCGGATCACTGACGGTCCATCTGCAGCGGAGGAGAACGGAGAAAGAGTGTCACAGCGGGAGTCTATACGCGGAAATAAAATGAGTTCTCTACCTGTCATCGCATGGCTGGTAGCTGCTCTTTGTGGCATTGCCATACGGATCGATCATATGATAGAACTGAAAGCCAATAAATGCACGCGGATCCTTGAAGAATATCGATGTGTTGCTTATCGTCTTGTTCGAGCCCACTGGATCGCCCAGGATCACGGATTCTTTATCCACCTTCACTAATGCAATGCGGGGTCTGGTGCCGTCCACTGTAACCAGTATCTTGGCCGTGCCACCTGTCAAAAGAGAGCGAGAGAGCGAGCGAGCGGGAGAGAGAGAGAGAGCGGTTTAAGCTCAGTAAAATATTCTCAGAATTCCCTGAGTCTCTGAGCTCTGAGCTCGGCACTCACATGATCCTCGATTGCCATTCGAATCGGTGGCCACTTCGCTCTTGTTGAACGACTCCGGCTTGGAGGCCATCATCGGGCGCAGTTCGTTGATCGTCGACACGCACAGCTTTCGATTGAAGTGAAAGAAGACGCCACCATTTCGTATGTACACCGTCTGATTGGGCCCCCAAATCTCCTCCAGATCGTTGTTCTCCAGCACATACAGAGCGTACAGATTCTCCAGCATGGGCGCGCCACGTATCTCACGCAGTGCCTTGAAGAACCGCAACGAGGTGAGGCCATAGGTCAGATGCACCTTCAGGTAGGTATCAATCGTGTGCACCGATGCCAGTCCAAACTCCAGGGCCTCCATAATGTGTGCTACAGCAAATGTAGCCAATAAATCAATCAGTAAACAGGAGACACAGCAAAGAAAGCACAGAAAACTTACATCTGCCCTCGCGTTTGATGCTGATGGTGAGGCCATTGTTTGGTCCGATTCTGGTGCAGCCATGAAAATCTCTCGCCCGCACCAGACTATCAATCAGTTCACCCTCGCAGGTCTTCTCGCACTGGCCCTGGCACTTGACGCAGGTGCTGTTCTCCATTTGGTAGCCCTTGGGGCAGCGTGTCGTGCACTGGCCATTGTAGTGGGCCAAAGGCATCTCCTTGGTCTCGTATTTGGTGCCAATCTGTTCGCACATTTCGGCCGTGATGCAGCGTCTGTCGTACTGTCGTCATAGAAGATTCCATTTTCAATTACAATATTAATTTCATTATTCATTTTTAATTTTTATTGCGATATAAACTTACCCGATAGAAACCCTCTGGACAGGTATCCACACAGGTGGTATTGTATATCGATAGATAGCGACAGCTGATGCACACATTTTGGCCATTGTGGCCATTTTTGTCCTTGATGCAGCCACCCAGACAGGCCTTGTTGCAGCAGTGCTGCTCATCGATGCAGTTGTTGCGGCACTCCTTGGGGCAAACTGTAAGAGGAATGGAATGGAGTGGAGGCGTCACAGCGAGCTCTGAAGAATTCCCATAGTTGCCCACTTACTTGTCTGACACGATTTGGTGTCCCAGCAGTAGCGCTTGTGGTCCGCATCCTCCGGGCAGCTGACACTCGGCTCGCCACCATTCGAACCGTTCATGTCCTGGACATCGCCGCCCTTGATCTCGCCCGGACACTTGGGGCAGGTGGCCTCGTTGCGATTCGTTTGCAGCACCACCTCCGACTTGGTGGCATTCTCGGCCATGATGTGCAGCCAGTTGACGGTGTGCACAAAGCACAGCGTCGGATTCTTCTCGATGCGCACACCCCCATTGGCGATGGCCCGCAGCTTGGACAGTCCCAGATCCTGCAGATCGCGATTCGAGTAGACCACCAGGGCGTACCCATCGAACAGTATGTTGCCGCGTATCACGCTCAGATTGGGGAACACCTTCGACAGCGACACCAGATTGTTCACCCGATACACGAGCACATATTCGGTGACCTCCGTCAGCTGCGGATACGACTCGTTCAGATGATCGGCATCGTTAATCAGTGTGATCAGCAGGAAGCCCTCAATGATGGTGCAGTTGGACAGCTGACTGAACTCCCTGGCCGTGTTCCGTATGTCCATTGACTTGCAGGCTGTTGAAGGAGCAGCAAAAAGAAAGCAGAACACAAGCATTTAATGGAGATCTCATTACCCCAATTGAATTCAACTATAACTTACTTCTTTCGTTGTGTGACAATCGTATCTGATCGTTGGGCCTGCCGCTGCTGCTGCCACTGCTGCTGCTGGCCCGACGCAATCGGAACTCAATTCTATCGGATATATCGTCCTGCGTATGCTGATGCTGATGCCGATGCTGTTGCTGTTGCTGTTGCTCCTGTTGCAGATTTTCATGGGTTTGTTCTTGGTAGATCTCATCTGGTTGCGGTTGCCGTTGCGGTTGCAGTTGCATGGCTGTGGTGGCATGCAATGCCAGCAGGCCAGCTAATATCAAAGCCAGACTGGGTATTCCATTATGCTGATGCTGATGATGGTGACGTTGGTGTTTGTGATGAAATCGTTGACGCCGCTGCTGCTGCTGCTGCTCCTGCTGCTCCTGCTCTTTCTGTTTCTGTTGTTGAACTTGTGATGTGGCACGTTTACTCCCTAGTTGTTGTAGTTGTAGTTGTTGTTGTTGTTGATTATGTATAGAATTATATTTGTTGTATTTTTTACGGCTTAAACTCAGTCTTGTTGTGGTTGCTGCTGATATTGTCTCCAACAGCAATAGGAATTTTGTATAATAATTTACATATTTTTGTTTTAGTTGGTTTTGTGGCTCCCGCTTCTGCTCCTGCTTCTGCTCCCGCTCCTGCTTCTGCTCCTGCACCCCCTGCTGCTGCTGCTGCTGCCTTCTACGTCGCTTTGTGAATATGGCACTATTCTGCATGAGCAGCAGCAACGATTGCAGCGTTCTCAGTATATTGTGGCAATTGCTATAGATATTGAAGTGATCCTGCCGTAGCCGTCGATTGTTCTTTGTGTTGTCTCTATAATCATCATCATCGTCATCATTACCATTACCATTACCATCATCATCATTATCCTTTCTTCTGCATTCCAATTTTCCTGCATGTACGAAATACGTTCCCCAATCAAAGTTGCACCATAATGGTTCTTCCACCCACTTAATTGGACGTTCTACAAATGTAATTGTATTTGATTCAAAGCAAAATTCTGCTACGTGTGATATTCTTGGCCGAGTTGCCACCAGAGTTGGTGATGGTGATGGTGATTCCACTGCTTTAGTTACACAGCAGCCACATGTCTCCTCAGTCATTTGTTGCCGACACAAGACACAAATGTTGCTGGGCGATAATGTTGTTGCTGCTCCTGCCGCTGCTCCGATTGTTGTTGTTGTTGTTTTTGTTGTTGCTGTTGTAGCTAATACCTCAATTGTTGGTGTTATTGCATTATTATTGTAGAATGCATTATATTTCAAACAATTTATCTTCGTTCTTTCCCCTAACGTCGTCAACTTTTCCTCCTTCCTAGACACTGACGTCAGCGTCGCTGCTGACGTCTCCTCTTGGATATTGGACATCTTTCGTTGTTGTTGTTGTTTTTGTGGTGTATTGGTGTTGTTGAAGTATTTTTTTTGTTTCTAATCCCTTTAGCAATATGTTAATTTGGGTCTCCGGCCCCCGCTAGGTAATCATTGTGTTGTGTCCCGCTCTCACTCTCTGCAGGCAGGCAGGCCCTCTGCTTGCCCTATGATTGCACCGTAATTAGACTCTGCTTGCACTACTGCTTTCCCCACTGCGTATATGACGTCCGAAATGACGCTACAGTCAACCAGTACGTAGTTTCCGTCGACGCAACGTTCTGGAATGGTATCTGCTGTTGTTTGAGAGCCGCCGCTGCCGTCTCGCGACTGCTGTAACTGTAATGGCAAAAAAAACAGAGTGTGCAATTGTTGTTGTTAATTCTTTTTGCTTTGCTTTTTAGAGAAACTTAGAAATAGAAAAATAGAAAACAATAGCAATAATTTTATGCGAAAAAGGGCGCCAAGTGCTCGACACACGTGTCGCTATCGGCGTCAATGGATCGGCTGGGGTGCTATGGGGCGGTAATGGGGATCATGACGGCCCGGCAAGCTGTCGCACGAACCTACCGTGACCGTGTGTGTGTGTGTGTGTTTGAACGTGTTTCGAGAGTTCGCGGCGAATGCTGCAGTCGTTAAACTCAAATTAAAGCCTGTATGACATTTTACAAATGATTGCATTCACTTCTTAAAATTCAACAGACTGACTAATTTAATGTTGGGAGAGTTGCCTAGCTTCTGAGTGTGTTTGATCAGTTTTATTTTTTATGTTACTAGTTTCTTCCCATTTAGTTGATCCAGCATTGTGCCGGGCCTAAAAGTATGCTATGGAAACCGGCCAGCGTGATTTTCGATTCACATGATTTTTCCTTGTCTTTTGCTAGAATTTACCATTTTGGCTCCTTGATTTCTTTAATATGAATAAAACAACAAATAAAAAAATCGGATAATGCATATTCGATCAGCTGAGAGCATTCGATCTCAAGCTATAGCCATCCCACTCTAGCCTCAAAATAATTTTATGCGGAGAACAAAAGAAAAGAAAAAAAATAGAATAAATAAAAAAAATGGCAAGCATATTGTCGCTTTCGCTCCCGCTCTCTCTCTCTCTCTATCTCTCTGCCTTTCTCTCGTAGCCACTACTGCTGGCATTGACGTTTGTTTCCATGACGCGTGTGTCGGCAAAGCAGAGTGAAAAAGCCGGCAAGGAGCAGCGTAGCAGCTCAGTCGAGTTGTAAAAACGTAGTAAAGAGAGACACCTAAGCTTGTGTGTGTGTGTGTCGCTGTGTCTGCTTACTACGTTGTAATTCATCAACTTCTGCTACTGCTGCTGCCACACATTTTACAGGGTGCCCTGCGCGTTTCTTTCGGGGCGTATGAGCACCAAACCAGAATCCAGAATGCGACTGCGTGCAAAATGTGGCTGACAGGAGAAGGAAAAGCATGAGAGGGCATGAGCATGACCACCACCACCACCCACTATTATGTGTAGTTGCTGCTGTTGTTGTTGTTTCTGTTGCAGTAGTACAAATTCTGCTGCGTAGTTGGAAACGTAGTAGATGTGCCTACATACATATGTACATACATACATACGCACACTCCCTCTCTCATTTATACAACTTTGTTCTTGTTTTTTTTTGCACACATTTTTCTAGCTTGCCGCCCAAAAACAACGCACACACACACACACAATCGAGCATACAAAGCTCCCTCTCTCTCTCTCTCTCTCTTTCGCTGCATAAGAACTGTTCTCTCTCTGACGTTGGACTTGCTCTCTCACGCACACGCTCTCAGCTAATGCTGCTTGTTTATTATGCTTTATTTGTTGTTTTTGTTGTTGTTGCTCTTATTGCGCAGTAAAAAATAATACACTGAACAAATGACAGACCAAAAGCAAATGTTGCGCTATAAATACATTAAAAAAAAAACTCAAATAAAATAATTAAATGCTTATAACACATAAAACTAATAGCTCGCACTGCACAAAAAATCATCATACCCCTCAGCAAGGGCATAAACTAATGCCGACCGCCATGACACCTGCCCCACGCTCGCGCTCTGACCAAGCTCTCTCCATCTCTGATTCTGGGTGTTTCTGCCGTGCCGTACTCGTATCTATGACAAAAAAAAAAACATCCAAGCAGGGCTGATGGATGGCTGACTCTCAAACTGTATAGACACTGTGACCCAGATTACAACTTAATAGCGAAACAAACTAACACTTCCGGACAGCAAACATTATCGAGATCCCAGCTGACAAGAGAAAGGGTTACAACAAAGGCATCCACCATCCACACTCTTCTTAAACATCAAATTAAAACAAACATACGGTGTCCAAGCAGATCGTTGTTTTTGCTGTTGTTTAATTTCGGCTAACGCGGCCTCAGGCGCCACCGTGCACGCGCCTCGTAAAAAGTTTAAAGGTGCAATTGGCACGCTTAAAAGCAATTTGTGCATGTTTTCTTTTATTATTATTTGTCGTTGTTTTCCGCTCTTTTTGTTGTTGTTGTGTTTCTTCTCTTTTTTAAGTGCAAAAACGAAAAATTGCAACAACAAAATGTGGATTTGTGTAGATGGGTCTCGAATGGGAGTTACCTCTAGAAAAGGGGCTTCGTGTGGTGTCTCCTCTGAATTACATTGCTTTGGATTTAAACCGTTTGTCAGCTGCTTGGAAACTATCCTGCACTGCTTTGGTTCTGATTTCAAACGCACTGCTCGAGACCATGCTCTAGCTTAGTATTCTGTGGAAGTATGCACCTTAGGGTTTATTTTTTTACATTTCTGATCAGATGAATCGTTTCTTTATGACATCTTAGTAACGTTCTTCTCTTCAACGCACCAGCTTACGATAATTTGCACTGCTTTCATCAATACATTTTAAATGCAACTGCTTATCATAACCCATTCTGCGATCTGCTTGCTCACAGATCTGCCAAACGTCCCCCGCACCTAATATACCCCTTCGCCCTTCCACAGAATGAGTAACGAGCGTACAAAATGTTGAGCAAAAAACGAAAACACTATAAAGAAAACAAATACAAGCACAAATAATTCCAAGAAATTTACAAAATGCATTGTTACGCACGCGCTGCACTTTTACATTGCCCTGACTCATGTGCAGCAGCGGGCAGCAGCTCAGTCAGACGGCAGAAATAGTAATAACAGCAATAATTATAATAATAATAATAATAACAATAACAACAACATTAGCGACAACAGCCAGGCCACAGAATGCCAGAGACCGAAAGATCCGATCCGATCCGACCAAGCTCTCCGACCAAAAGCCAACAACATTCCAATCCGACACAAAGTTGCCAGACCAGTTAAGAAGCAAGAATGACAAACAACACAACAGAAAAACAAAAACAACAACAACAACAACAACAAAACATAATACAGAAACAACAGTAACAGAGTCAGCAACAGCAGCAAAAACAGCAACAGGCAGCAGAAAAATGAAGAAGTGGAAAAAGACAGAAAGAAATCCCCAGCTCGAATGCATGAAATATTTCTTATGCTCCAAATCCGACGCCAATCACCTACTGGTCAAGTCAAGTGTTGTTATTTTCTAGATATTGTCGGTCTTTTCCACTGATATCTCAACAAAAACAATACAAATTATTGGATTATGATAAGCAAAAGTTTTGTGGTAGACTTTATGGGAGGAGAAGATGTGTGGATTGGATTGGATTGGATGATATCTAAGCCCAGAGCGAAACCTGATTTCCAAAGATCAAAATCAAATCGAGCGCAGAGCTCTTCCGAATTATATATGCATCTACATATATAAATTAAACTTTTTTTGTTGTTTTTTTTTTGCTGTTTTTTGTTTTCTTGTATGGTGATCAAAGTCGTTTCCCTCGAATACTTCCCATTCATAATATCTCAATTCCACAGATTTGTCACATCATCTTCATCATGATCATTATGAGACGTGAATTCCACTAGCTTATTTAAGCGACTGTTACCCATACATTTTGTTGCAGGTTCTTATAATATATTTATTAATAACTAAAAGCTTTTAATGTTGAATAAATATTTAAGAGATACTTGGAAAGAGAGGTATTACTGGGGGGAAGCACAGCCACAGCCAGTCAGATTTCATCACATATGAAACACCTGACGTGGACATGGACATGGACGTGAATGTGGACCTCGGTATGAGTATCTGTATCTGATCACATGTGGCGCCTGTGGCGCACTCGTAATCTTCCCCTTACCGGCACACAGAATCTGTCCAGTCATTTCCACCAACTTAGATCTACCAATTTGATGTCCGCTTCAGCCAACTAAAAAGTGACTAGTATGCCACTTAAATAGTTTTTATTTTTTTGTTAGTTGTGGTGACTTTTACATTGTATCAGTATGTGTGTGTGTGTGTGTGTGTATTTTCTATTGTTTTGCTTGATATGGGCGGCTTGGGTTGTGGGGGGAAGAGAACGGCAACAGGTATGGGCAGGCCAGGCCAGGCCCATACGTATCGGGAGGTGCGAGTTCCAGATAACCAACGTGACGCCGCCTCACGCGAGATAAATAACTTTGCCCCAGAGACAGAGAGAGAGAGAGAGAGAGAGAGAGAGGGAGGGAGAGAAACTTTTGCTAATAACAAATATGACATTTAAATGCGACTAAAAAGGGGGGTGGGGTTAAAGATATACATACATATGTATATTGTACGTGCAGCTGATAATAGCATTTTCTGATATGTATAAACACATTACAGCAGGAATGATATGGCATGTGGTTGCGGAAATTGCAATGAATTATTTCATCATTTTAGGAAATATCCTGGCTGAGGGATTAAGCATAGCAAAGTTATTTCTGGCCTTTAATTCGCTATCTAATTAATTGCAGCTTATATTTAAAGCAGAGCTAAAGATGCCCTGACTTTAATGCAATAGATAATACGATCACGTTGTTCTTTTTTTTTTTTATCAACTTTTTGCACTGTTTGAGTTCCCAAACAAGTTGTCATTTTCCCCCACAAAAATTTCCATTCCCTGGGGGGTGGGAGATGACTTTCTTTATGTCGTTTGGTGCCACGTTTAGTAATCTTTGTAAATAAGCTGCCAACCAAAAACAGGTACATTAACTTGACTCCCGGGGCCTGGTTTGGTGGTATGCACTTTCCCAATCTAGTCGACTATTTTTGTTGCCCCTCCCTTTTTTTTACGACCAACAATTGCCCCGAAATAATGGCCGTTAATTTCAAATGAATTCAAGTCGTAAAATTGAGTAAAAAGTGCCCTGTGGGTGGGTGGACGGGTACTGGGTACTCTTTTGCGGCTGTGCCAGGCGGTGCTCTCCCCTGGATTGGGAGCAGTATAGCGACGCGACATTACTTGAGAGAAGTCGTTAAACCATGTTGAGGGTTCATTGTGGGGTTAGCGGGACACACTCAGTAGTTTCTTGGAATTATGAATATGCGGGGTAGATAATCATAATGTTATGTGCGAGAAATTCAAAGATAAAATTATTCTATTTTGCTAGTCATTTTTGGGAGCATTTCAGAACCTAAATGTATGTTTTCTACGGTGTGTCAAGTACCAGCAAGACTTTAAATATTTGTATTTTGTTATTTCATGCGCTTGGTTGCCCACTGCTAACATTTCTCCGAGATTTATGTATGATTCAGCAACCAGAACACAGAAGGAGGACGGCTGAAAAAGTATTCTGCCCGAGAGTGCAAAAACATAACTAATTAACAAATAAAAAAACATTAGCCCCCATCAGCATTATTGCGCCTTTTTTCTCACACTCATTGTAGGACAGTGTTTTTTTTGTGTAATTTATAAATTGACTCGCTTGGCTAGTTAACGATTGATTTCTTTTTATTTTTCTCTCTTTTCTCTCTTTTTGTTCGAGTAATTTTTCTGATTTAGTGAATGCCGTTGTGGCTCATTGTGGTTGCTGTTTTTGCTGTTGCTGTTGATTGGAAGCACTCCACTTCGGCTTCGGACTTCCAAAACCACACGACTCTACGCGACTCTACACGACTCTACGTGTCGACTCGATGCGACTCTGTCTTGTCGTTTGTTTGTTTGCACGTTCATTCATAAGCTCGAATAAAATTCAAAAACAAACACAACCGCCAGCAACAAACAAAATTCCAATAAAATTTTCATTAACACACAAAAAAAAAAAAACCAAATTCCACGAAATAGAAAACCCAACAAAAACGGGGAGATCCGTTTCGAAAAAAAAACAAAAAAACGAACATAAAACGTAACGAAGCATACCCAAAACATCATCAACAATAGCAAAGCGAACCGCCATCGTAGGCCTAGCCCCCCCAAAAAAAAAACCCGTCGAAGCCAAGCCATTCGGATCGAATCCAAAGAGACCAAACCATTACAAGAGACACCTGCGAAAACGCACAAATAATAATGAAATGCCAGTGCGCCGCTCTACAAGAAATTAACTCCGATACGTGAGCATACAAAGTAAACGGCTTTTTTCGGGGCATTCCACATTCCACACACACACACACACACACACACACACACCAAAAACACACAGCGCAGCGAAGAGAAAAGACGAAAGCGGATCGGAAATTCCAAGATCATGACGTATGTATGTATGAAATGTATGTATGTGCACGCACAATGTCATGTCGTGTCATGGATGCCACTAAATCTGCCATCAGCCATGGGCGATGATTTTGTAAAAAACGGATATGGATTACATAGAGATCAGCTAAATACAGACCAGCGATAAGAGATGATATGGAATGGAGATAAGTAAGGACCAGAGAATTTAGACGCTCATAGTCATAGTCATGACTACATGTGTTTTGTTTTTAATGTTATATCTATAATTATCGCATATTAATATCCCATTTGGGCTCTAACTTATTTTAAATCCTTAATTCCCAAGTCCTACAGTACCCCAAAAAATTCCATGCATAGAACAATCGGTAAGCGTGTCACCAATAAATACACTCCACCGATAACAAGCATAAAGAGCCATCCTCATATCAAAAATCTATTAAGTTATGGCAACAAAAAACACAAAAAAAAAACAACAAGAAAAAATAAACCACCTGATTAAAAATACAAAATACCGAATACCGATCTCTGTGCGTGAACCAAGTCCAAGTAAATGGCGCGGCGCGTCCAGCTGTCGCTTTGAGCGACAGTTGGCCAATTGGAGATGTCTCGCGATAACGATAATAGCCAGGACTGAGATTTGTGATTGGAACACAAGCACACACAATCAATGGTCGTGTCGTGCATTGGCGACGTGGCTTAAGAGGACAAATCGCATGATGTATGCTAGAGATTGATTAATCCCCGCCTACCTCATACAAGAGATAGCACATTTCCAGTACCTACATAAATCCTTTTTGACCAGATCCCTAATTTGCAAAGGATCATCTTTGGGCGATCCTTTAAACAGCAAACAATCAGAGACACAAAACTTAAGCCTAGAGAAACTTTCATTCTCGTGACTTTCACCATTCCGCTATGCTATGGCCCCCACTAAGACCTTGTACATATGTATGTACTCGCATCACATGACCAAAAACCCGGTAACCGGTAACCGGGCAAAGCTCCAGGAGAGCCTTGTGACAATCCCAATAAGCAGTCACGTTCGTATCAAAATATACATTGTTGATTGCACACACAAGGTATTTTATTTTTGCTATTCATTCTTGTTGTTTTTATCGCATCAGTCGAGTATTTCACACACGTCATCATTGTTATCATTATCATCATCACCACCCCAGAGATTGTAGCGGGGGCGCGCGCGCGCGCTCGCTCTCCATCCTTGGGGTATGGGATTGGGATGTGCTGCCGTTGTTTTTCCAATTGCATTTTTACTACGATTGTGAAACAGCACACAACACACAGATGCACTGCTCGCATATGTGTTTGTTCAATGAATTATTATTATTATTCAGTCGATCGGCAGGCATTGAATTTCACAATAACAATAACAAGATAAGAGAGGTAACCCCCCTGTAACCCCGCTACCTACCCACCTCCCCGTTCCATGGGCCCCGCGTAGTAGTGTAGTGCTATGCGATTGTTCCACTAAAATTATTGATATAGACCAAAGTTCGTTTCAATTTATTAGTTAAAAAATTTCCTAGAACTCTTAAGGGATTAGTGACTGTTAGTAAATCCCCGGCCATATCGTAGATATTACTCCGAAAAAATAATCTCCACTCAATCACGATTCCTTGTAGATTTTGATGGCAGGTGGTTTTGGCTCCGCGTTACAAGTGACTTTGGGGTTGATGGAGTTCAATGAAAAGCATTCATAAAATAACCCTCCTCCACTGTTCCCAACTATTCCCCATTTATAGAGCAGTATTTACCTATGACACATATTGTCGTTGTACTGCTACAACATGAGCAATTTTTATGTCATTTCCGGTTCTATTTTCCCCCGCCGCCACCGACTCTTCTGACCTATTTATTTTGTTCGTCATGTTACGAAAAAATAGCACAAATTTCCGGGAAGTGCTACTACTAAAAGCTGGGGAAGGTTATAAAAAGCTCTAAAGGATTTTCATTGCTCGACTATATGATACCCACCATGCGGTGCTCATCAGAGAAGAATTTTCAACTTGATCTTTCCCTTGAGCTCAAAAATGCCAAAAATGTTTCGTGTGGATGCATTCATTTAAATCTTCATTAAGATCACAGATATCTACTATATGTCGAGGCCGAAAGATTTGTATAATCGAAATCAACAGACGATTGAATATATTTAACTAATTTAAACATTAAAATCAAAGATTGCTCGTCACAGTTTTCCAGTCCTGTTATCTGTGCATCTTGATTGTGGATACTTCCAGATAATTATCAATTATAATTGATCGATTGAATTATACCAAAAACGATCCGAAAGTGAGATCAAGAAGATAACTGTACACAGCAGGCTATTAATCCGATATTATATGCCCACTCATACGCTGGGTAAACCGGAAATACGTTGATAAAATAGATGGCCATAGCTCCCAAGGTATGTAGGCACAGAATAATAAATACCCTTTCAATGACTGTAGATGTCATGGATATACATACATACATATCTATCGAGTACACATAGTGGTAGTTGTTCAGCTTCGACGACAATCAATTGCAGTCTTTAAGCTTTTGACAGGGGTCTCCGTCTCCTCCGCCGATACTGGCCGTAAATTACGATTAAATACCCGTATACCATTTCTATACCGTATAATCTTTTGTCAACTATTTTTTGTTTACTTAGTATTTTCATTGGAATTCGGCACATTTTGTGGCTGGTGCTTATTTTTTGTCGGTATTTCGTTTATTGTTTTCGCTTCTCAGAAGGCATCGCATCGATTTGCCCGAACAGCATCGATATTATCATAGGGTTGGGGGTTGCAACTGGAGCTTTGACAATCTCGTTTGTGGACCAATGTGAAAAGGAATGTACAAATGGCTATACTTAAATCTATCAAGTTTCCTTTCGTGGAGTTTCATTTTGATTTATTTATTTTATCCATGCTTCAAATTTATATTTAAATAATATTTTCATTGGTTTCTGTGATATTTTATGCAATTTTATCCGACTTATCCTTTCGTAGAATTTACAATTTTTATTACTTTGCCGTTTCTACATGTTGATTTAATTTTAATTAACTTTAATTAAAATCCGTTAACTACTTGAAATTCCGAAATGGGGAAAACAAGTTTCGCTGATCAATTGAATCGTGTGAAATATCTCGTTTCATTTTTCTCTCTCTCCCCTCTCCCCTCCCCTCTCTCTCTTTCTGTTTCGGTTGTAGTTTCATAATGTCTAGTAATTAATGCTTTGGCAATAATATAGCGCGCTGGTTCAGCCTCCAACCACAAACCCAATCCCGACCCCAATACCCATACCCATACCCATACCAATTCCACTTCCAATAATGATTAATTATTATAGAAAAAAAAAGAAACACAGCAACAATTATGGTATACATGGGTTAATGAATGAATCAAAGGCCCTTGGGTTTACCAGTTCCGGTCTCTGCACAGAGTGCCCAAGAGCCCGGGCCCTAGCCCTTCTTTATATATATATTTTCGCTTCTTTATCTATGCATATCCTTTCCAGTTTGGTTTTTTGATTGACTTTGCGGTTGGAAATATAAGTTGAAATCCGCTTTGGCTTATACAACATTTTTGTGGTTTTGTTGTTTATCGAGGTGTTAAATACTTTTATACACACACACACACACACAGACACACTAACAGGCAGATACGCGCCACGCACGCATACATTTTTATTATTGAATGAATGGGGGCCCGCGGGCCCACACACACACAACATACGAGTACGGAGACAAGCACGAAGCCGGCCCAGGGCTGGCACGGTGCACGCTGTCGATCCCATAGTACGTACCGTACTACTTGCATGTCTAGCGCTCTCGCTCTCTCTCTCTCTGTCTGCCTCTCTCTTCTCTTGAACTGTCTGGCCTGTGGCACTCTCTCTCTGGGAGTACTGGCTAAACGAAAAAGCTGTAGCTGCAGCTGCACTGCACCTAAACGATGCAAAAGCTTGAAGCCAACTTTGATCTATAACTACTACTGCAATAAGGAAAGTAAATCCTGTAGCACTAGGATGTTGGGCCAAATAAATAAGAGAGATAAATCCAAATACATTGGCATGATCGCTGCAGCCTAGCCAAAAACCCGCGCATTTGCAGTCAAGCAGTTCAATTGCTTTTCCGTTTGGAGAGTGCTTAAGCGATTGTTCTCTCCATCTCGCTCTTTCTATCACTTGCCATGTGTGTGAATGAATGCAGCGCAGCCGCGACGAGTAGCGTAAGAAGCACAAACAACAACAACAGCAACAAAAAAAAGCGAGGGAACGGTGAATCAAGTGAATGAAATTTTTTAGCGCGTTTTTTTTTCTGTGTGTAATGACATTTTCAAGTGTCCGACCCGACCCTCAGCTCTGGCGCTCAGCCTGTGTGCGTGTGTGTGTGTGTGTGTTTGTCTGACTTTGAGTGTGGAATGCAAGTGAGTAAACAATGATAATTGTCGGGTAAAGAACGAGAGGCAGCCACAACAACAACAATAACAACAGCAACAGCAATAACGTTTTAATATAAAATATGATTTGATAAGCTTTTCTGCTCTCTCTCTAATCTAGGCATGGGCATGGGCATTTCCCCTCTCTTTTCTATAACCATTCTACATACTCCTCTCTGCTCTCCACTCCTCCCCTGTTCGTTGCTTTGCTTTGCTTTCTGTTTTGATAGGGGGGTTAGGTTAGCCAACATTTTATTTGGTTACACTTATTATTTATGATTCCTTTCGTTTCGTTTCACTTCTTCATCCATTGCCCAATTTTTGACGTGTGAGTGCTGGAATGTGCATTGCACAAGGGGGCCGCCTCTCCCCCTTCCCACCATCACCCCGTCTTCAACCATCATGTGTGTGTGTGTGTATCTGTGTTTGTTGTTTGATTTTGGTATTTGGTATTTGGAAGTTATCAATGAAATTGTGTGTTTCTCTCTCTCTGTTCGGGGGCGTGAGTAGAGTAAAAAATTGTAGTTATTCGATTTCATTCACAAGGCAGGCGCTTTTGGATGGGCCAGAGACCCGACCCCAAAAATTGGGGCCCACAGACCGGAAAAATATAGCCCAAATCAGTTATTTACCTATTTGTTTAGTGTGTGCGGGCAAGGAGGCGGGGTTAGGGTGCCATATTATCGGCTTTCTTATCGCCACTACACCCGTCCCTCCTCTCTTCGGTTGCTGCATTTAAAGCTCCCTCCGATGTCCGATGTCAACATATCATTCGATCCATGGAGGTGGCACTGAATTGTCAACAAATTAAACCCATTCATGGAAAGAAAATATGAATGAAATTTAATAGATTCTGAATGGGATATCATTGTAATTAGCAAACGCTATTCCGTTCATTAATCTTCTCTTTAAACAGTCAGAGAAACAAAGACCCGAGCATCTAAAAGTTTACACTATTCAATCAAAGTTAAATCATTTAATTACATTTAATGTAAAACATGGATGTGTTTCCTTTTAAACACTTATGGAATTCTCTTGATATGGGAAGTTTTAATCAAGGAAAAATCTTGTAAATAAACCAAATAAATCTCAGCAAAATATGAGAAAATATAATCTTAGCGTGGCAAAAGTATTTCATTCCCATAATCCCCTCATATCCCATCCCAGCCATCAAAGGAGTCTACTCTTCAATGATGGAATCAAATCCACTGACATTTTCTGTCATAAGTCAAGCTAATTAATTCAAACTCTGTATATTCCCCAAAATGATTCCATTCCACATCCCCCTACCCTCCACCATCATCCCATAATGTTATCAGTTGCCGCTCGTGCGCCCCCGTTCATCTCTCTTGTTGTTCTCTGCTCCGCTCTGATGATTCGCTGCTCTCCTCTGGGGCTCTGGGGCTCTGGTCTCTGCGCTCTGTCTCGAGGCTTGTCAAATTTGACATTTGCTATTGAACCGTTCATAAAATAGGCGCCAGACAGATTGGGGCGCCCCCCGTATGCTGCGCGAACAAAGGAGAATGCTCTACGATTTTTCTTCAGATTTCAGATTTCATCTTTCGTTTTTCTGTTTTTCTGGTTTTGTTTTCTTGTTATGATTTATTAAACATTTATTTGGTTTAATGAATTAATTTGATTTGATTTCGACAGCGTAACGGAAATACTTGTAGAATATAGCAATCTGTGTGTGTGTGTGTGTGTGTGTGTGTAAGCGTCAATTGAGGGGCGCCAAAAAGGCGCAATGCACGACGCAATTGTCTGAGCTAAACGTAAAACGAAAGAAAAACTGCATAACGAGAAGAGCAGAGCAGAGCAACAACAAAACGACAAGACAACAATGACAACTGTACAGGAAAAGTATATTACAACGTCCGTGAAGAGGGGCGCAACAAGATAGGCGGGGCGGGGCGGGGCGGGTAGGCTAGGCTACGAGTAGCACTAGGCAGCACTAGCATAAAATAAAACGCAATACATTTCCACAAATGTCGGGGAGAAAAAATACATAAAAACAAACAACTAGAAGGCAAGGCTAGCTTTCGGGAGAAGGGCCGAAGCTTTAGATACACTTCGTAGATATTTAGATACTATACATATGTACATATATATTTATGATCTAGTTCTTCGATCTTGATGCAATCTTTGAGTCTCTGAAATTGAAGAAAAATGTATCCGATTTTTGTGTGCTCTTTTTTCTATGATTTTAGATTGAGTCAATCATACTATTCGCAAAACATATTGAATTGAATTGTTTATTATTTGTATTAATTATTGTCTCAGAAAGTTAATTTTAGAGCGTTTTTAATCATTTGATTAAGATTAAATTGAACATAATTATTTGAAAATTTAAGCAGCGAGTAACGAAAGAAACCTAAATTAACGATGGGCGGCGTGCCCTTGCTCTTAATCGCTCCCACATTGATGCTCGATACGCACAAGCGAATGCTGCAAAAGAGAATTTCCGGATCTAGTTCTCTGTTTATTGGCTTATTGGAATACAATTTGGAACAATTTATTTGAAATCTGATTAAATGCATTGAAAGGCTACCTGCCAGGGAATACTTTGAAAGCAATTTTTGTACATGCCAAAAACGATCTATAATGCTCTTTACAGCCCTGTTTATAGCTCTGTTGCTCGCTGTGTGTTACAAACGTCTAATCAAAGGAATGGGTACGCTTCCAGTACTTAGAGTACAACAGAACAACAATAACAGCAATAGTTGTTAGGCTATTAAGTTCCGCTTAAATTGTTTTCACATTTGCCTTATGCCCCGCACCGCCCCGCCCCGCTCCAATGCCACAAGCATACACACAGATACACATAACACACACACACACACACGCAAATAGAGACATACGAAACACAACAAAAACAAAACAGCGCCAGCGCCAGCAGCAACAATAAAAACAAAAGCAAAGTGCGAGAGAGGCACAAAGAACCTAATCAAGAGCAAAACGCCGCAAATAAAGCAATAAACAAGACACAAAATATTGTTGTTTTTGTTTCGCCCCCTCTCTCTCTCACTCTTTCAGTCTTGTTCTTTATTTCTGTCTCATTCGCAAGAGCGGTTCTGAAATATTCGTAGCTTTCCGCAGCAGCAGCAGCAGACCCTGTTCCAAAGACCCTGTTCTCAAAGCTCCAGTTCCAGGGGCAACAGCAACCAGACAAACAACAAGAGCAGACAGACAGACGCAAGTTGAATGAACAGAGAGGGACAAAAACAAAAACAACAACAACAGAGGCAGGCCAGCAACAGCAGAGGAACCACAAGAAAAGGTACACCACATCCTAGAGGTAAAGGGCAAAAACTAAACGAAACAAAGAGTCCGAAGCTTTGGATACCCTTACAGGTATTTCATTAGCATAATATGCTAAACATTAAATACGAAATTATTATTCTTACCGATCGTTCCGATTCTTTTTTGTTTTTGTTTTTTTTTTAACTTTGTGTAAGTGCTACTGCTC